GGTTGGTCACTTCCATGGCGAGAGACATCGTGATATCGAGATATCCTGACTTCCAGTCCTCAGTATTAGTCAAGTTCCAAAACCACTGGTTCCTACATTTTCCACAACGCAACTCCTTTGTTAGACCATACGTGCCAATTAATGTCTATATCTGTAAAACGTCATGCCCACAGTTTGTAACATATGTTTTCTGCTATAAACTTGAAGACACCAAACCAAAGTAGATATTTTCTCAGGCTTTTGGAAGCTCCTCCAGAGCCACAGAAGACTTGGTTTTTGTTTTGTTATTTTACAGGCTGAGTAGTGCTGCACATCCCACTACAAATTTCAGTAATGATGTTTCAGCAAAGACATCCCACAATTTGGATTACAATATGTCTTCATGTCATTGAGTTGTCGTTGAGTCCACGCACTCAACGACAAAAGGACGAAAGCCAGTGATGCCAATATCAACGATGTTAAAGATCTGTTCGTCACAGACAAGGTCCGAAACACCAGAGGAAGATTAAGTCAATGTAACAACCTTCTCACAGCAGTAAGTTGACAAAGCATCTAATGACACAGCTGATCTTGAAATGCGTTCGTTCTGCCTCTTGATGGTCTCTTAATGCAACAGTTTGTGTGTCAAAGCTGTAGAAATACCCAAGGGTTTATCTTTGGAGAGACGAGACAAAGTTGGTTGACATATTCTAGGTAAACAAAATCCAAGTTCGTCTTTTTGTAGTGCATGAATGTCATCAACACCTTGGCCACTGAACCCTGTTAAATGCATGAACTTCCAAAACACAAATCTTTTCCCTTCAAAATTGTTCTTTATTATAAATAGTTTAAATAAATAAAAAGTTTACTGGTGAATTATTTCTGTAAAGAACAATTTGATTGGAAAACCCCAAATATACCAATTTGAATTTTATTTCATTGGTTCTATATGTTCTTATGGCACCCTCTGTAATGTGATCTTCCACTTTTCAAACTGTGTCAAATGTCTGGGTCACGTATATAATTTCCGTAAGTGTCAAGCTGCTTTGCTTCACGCCTACACTCTCAGTCAGACAGTCGCTCAATCTCCCTGCAAACTAAAACAGCAGAATTTCTCCGTCCAACAAGGCAGCCAGTCAGCCAGACTATCAACCATCCAACCAGCGATATCACCCATCCACCTACTGAGTTCTCTAAAACCAGTTAAGTGATTTTTTTAAGCACAATCTTTTCAACTAAAGATATTTTTTGACACTTTTTCAGTAGGTTCTCCTTTTAAGATACACTAGCAATCTGTCTGAGCTCTGAGCCAAGTAAGTATACTAGGTCACTGCCTCCTCAATCTGTTAGAGTCCCAATAATCCCTCGACTGCACAATGAGACACTAAGAGTAGATGATTTCACTGTGAACTATTAGCAGAAATGAGATTACAGTTTCCCAGCATAAGAACAGAAGAAGGAGCAATAAAAATCAGGAAGCAATAAGAGCTTAAATCTAACAAAGACTTTTACATAAAATCTGGGGATGGAACACATGACAATGGACAGATTTCCAGCTCCTCTTCAGTGAGCTATACCCAAGTGCACCAAATCTGCTTAGATTGCGGATGACATGGTGAACTCCACCGTGCCACAACCTCTACATTCATGATTGAATCTCATCTTAACCCCAACGCTACACTGTCAAATATATGTTCGTAGTAAAACTCAGAAGTGCAGACAAAAGCTTTATCTTAACTTTTGTTAAGATGGTTAAGATAAGAAGCACAAAGAAATCATCAGAGTGAATGACTGCGAGAAAACCAGAAAGAACAAAACAGAAATCAACACAAACTGTTGGTGGAGAGTTGTTGCATGACACTGACACATTAGTCGACTGCTTTTTTTAGATGGAAACGCTGTCACGGACTTAACACCAACTAAATCCTTCACAGCTGTCGATCACACTGATGGCCGACAACATCTGTCCACTAGCTGCTCGACCTCAGACAGCATGGAATAAGGACAAATGGGGATGGGTCAGGGACACTGGGAGGGGCTGATGGACAGGAGACAGAACAAGACAGAGAAGCGAGTCACTCTAATACTGCTTGTCATTTACTGGACAGTCAGAATTGACTGCTTTGTGGGAACAGAAGTGCAAAGGACTGACCCTACTAGATAGATTTCCTAGTAGGATTTGGGGCAAGATTTTTCAACCCCAAATGTTCTGAGATTCAGTTATCTGACCAGTGTGGCAGCATGTGTATAAGTAAGTATGTTACATTTTGTTAAATTAAATGTTTTGTTGCCTGTGCACAAGCCGAGCTCCATCAAAACACATCATAAGTGTCATAAGTGTTTAAAGAGTAACTCAACACTAATTCCACTTATTTTTAGTTAACAACATATACAGTGTGTACAGTGATTTTACTGTATGATTAAATGGTCCTGGGCCCAGTTTTTTGTGTTCATTGCAATGATAGTTCCTTGTCTTTTTCCAGATTAGATCCAATACTGCTGCCTTTTAGACCAAAAACAATCAGACAGGGACAAGGTGTACAGTTGCTCATTATACAGAAACATTTAATTTTAAGCTGCACTTTTATTTAAAGTGTATTTGTTATGATAAGTATTTAGTTTAGTAGGTCGGGGCTTGTGGAAGGAGGAGCTTGGAGAATCAGCACTGTCACACATTGCACAAATTAAGATTTTCAGGTTTGTGACAAAGACAGCGGTGAAGTCTGAACTGAAACTCTGGCTTCAAAAGGTCTCTTCAGAAACCTGTAATGTCAGAGATTTTTTGTACACTATGTTTCTTTCTACACTCACACTTGTTGCCGTCAACTGGCCTACATCTGTTCACTTTCTCCTTCAGTATGTAATGTTGTCTATTGGCACAAGCGCTATTTAAAGATTATCCCCTCCAACTTGCAGAATCATTGTGTTTTTAGGTGCCATTAAGATGATTTGGAGCTTCATATCTAGACAGACAGCGGGCAAAGAGGGACAAGTGAGGGAGCTGGGAGAGAGAGAGAGAGAGAGAGAGAGAGAGAGAGAGAGAGAGAGAGAGAGAGAGAGAGAGAGAGAGAGAGAGAGAGAGAGAGAGAGAGAGAGAGAGAGAGAGAGAGAGAGAGAGATGATTGCAGATGAAAAGGACAAACCCTCAGACTGGGTGAAAAGAAGAGTAAATCTTTTTAGGCGCTTTAGAGGCCCCGCCCTCCCCGACCTGCCTTCCTGCCTGGTTAGAGCTGGTAAAGTTAGCATCAGTTCAACATTGTCTTCATTCATTCATCCATCAGTCAGACATTCATTCAGTCGTAATCTGTCCTGATTCAACTCATTCTTCCGGTGTTAAAACCCAGAGTCCCACTCTGCAACTGTGTATAAGTTGTGTTACTGTGTGTTTTTGTTGATCTAAACATACTTGTTAACATTAGCATTAGTTTCAGTATCATCCAGGTGAGAGCAGTGGCATTATTCTTTGGAGACATACGCCAACAACCTAATGACAGCAGATTTCTGCAAATAGATGGGTTTGCATATAAAATTGATTGTCTCAATATCAACACCTTACTAATGATTTAGCTGTTCTTACCAGTGAGTTACTGTAAAACTAGGGCTAAAAATTTGTCGTTTATCTTGAGTGTGGTGCTAGAAGAAAGGTCATGTGGTCACTGAAATTGAAAGGCTTCATCCTCTGTGGAGCAATATGTGTTCAGTCAATTTCATGGAAATCAGAGTGCTTTTTAAATTTTTAAATGCCATGTGTACAAGTGGGAAATTTGTTCTGATGGTGTTTGTTAGAGGGAAGATCAGGAATTCATCAAAAAAATATAGGAATCATCCCCTAGAGACTGAGAATATTCACAGGAAATGCCAAATAAATCCAACCAACTGTTCAGCAGTTTTGGTAACCAATTACTTGTTAAATTACTTTCTCAAGCAAAAATATCCAAACATTCTCTTCTCAATGCAACATTGTTTTTTTCTTTGTTTTATGAGACTTTAAATTAAATATTGTTGTGTTCCGGACTGCAAGTTGGACAAAAGGAGATATTTGAAGACATCACCTTGGGCTCTGAGAAATAATTAGTTGAGAAGTAAACTGGATTACAAAAGAAGGTGGATATTTAGTCACAGAGGTTGGCAAATGTATTTAAAATGTTTTGAACACATGGTGCATTTCTTAAAGTTGAACCAGCTCCAACTGTTTTAACTTTATGTATTACAACAGTTTCTACAGATGGTTCTGATGTAAAACCTTGTGAATACAAACAGACCAATCTAACTATCTTAACCCAGATACATATTTAGCATCAGCAGCCCAATCACACCCCTAACCTGACAGTGTCAGTAGTGCCTTGCTCAGTCTCTGTCACTGTTACTTCCCTTTACTACAGGATAAACAAAAACAAAACAAAAGCAAATTGCACAGATTCAAGTAGTATTAGCACATAATGCATCAAGTGGTAAAATATGAAAAAGAAAAAAACTCTAAAATTGTTAAATATGACATGAAATATCAAAATAATCAATAATTTACATAAATACATGTACACACGTAAACAGCAAATGTAACATGAAGTATATATCATAGGCGTTAAACATTAAAATACGTATTCAAATAAATGCTTGATTGCTCCATTTTGGTACACTTACTCCAGAAGGTTTAAGAGTGAAAAATAAATAAAGACATTCAGCTGAAGGTGCATGGTATTTAAAGCTGGATATAGAAAATGCATGGCGGCAACAAAACATTCATATACAATCTTCACCGACTGTAATGTGGCCTCAATCTCTGATTTTGAAGAACTAAAAGAAATACATATAACAGTACTTTAAGTTTGCATTTTAATTTTTAAAAACAGTAAGCTGTGCTGTTTCTAATTAGGGCTGAACGATTAATCGTTTTCAAATCAAAATTGCGATTTGAAAGAACGCGATTTGCTTATCGTGAAGATGGCGATTAAAATGTAGGTTAATTATACAGTGGATCTGACCCATTTTTAACAGTCATGCAGTTACAAATTCATTCCGCTTTTGTCCTTGTATGACAGATCTGCTCGCCAATCACAAGCGCCATGCTCCTCCTGTTACGGTCCTACTCACCAATCAGAGAGGGCACAGGGCGTGTACATTTTACAACAACAAACAGAAGTGGAGGAAAACGTGTTAATGGCGCTAGCCGAACCGACACAGGCAGCGGCTGTGCCGCGGATCTGTCTGGCGTCAACTCACACTGTTTCAGCAGCAGAGTGTTTAGCCTGCCCTACGTTGTTGATGTGTTGTTAATTTGTGTACTTCAGCTCCTGATTACAGCTCTCTGTGAGCCTGTTTCGCTCCTCTTTCAGTAGGCTAACATTACATAGGCACATGGAGCATTTCAGAATAAGAGCATTTTGCCTGTCTGATTTTGCTGACTTGTTCAGATTTTGCTTAGTTGTTCAATTGTCCTTGATTTTTGTGCTTCTACTATGGTTAAGTACGCTACTTAGTTAAATTGTTTCTTTTTTTCTCTGTTTTAACTGTGTTCATTGTTGATGTACGGTCGGGAGTCTGCAAAAGGTGTTTTATTTTGAAAATTGACCCGATTCTCTATGCCGTTCTGTGTTTGACTTCCTGCCTGGTTCATCTGTTCTGTGCTGCTTGATGTGGCTTCAGTCAAAAATAGACTGGCAGTCAATATTGAACTTTAGCAAAACTTCAATAAAAAAAAAATAAAAAAAATCACAAATCCAATCTTAATCGAAAAATCGCAATTAGATTTTTTCCCCAAATCGTTGAACCCTATTTCTAATGCTAGTGGTCTGGCGCTGGGGTGTTCATGCATAAAATTTCTCAGATTCGCTGTCAGTCAAAGATTGTAGGGCAGACATAGCATACTTTTCCTGAAGTTGAAGTGAATTGGTAAGCCACCCACAGTTCCTATTGTCATTCCCCATCGTTATCATAACCAGTTATAGTGATGGTCAAAACACAGAAGAACATACGGCCAAGGATGTAAAAGATTTTCACAACAGAGTTTTTGATGAGCGGGTCTTTGTTTTTTATGTATCTCATGCTCTACTAGCACTTGCATGTATGCACACAATGATGATGTGATACACATTCCTGCTGACTGCAAAAGGCAGTACATGTGTTCAGTTAGTGTATGGACGCTATAAAACATGAGATGTTGAGCAGGTGAAACATTACATGGACAGAAACCTGCTGGAAAAATCTCTTTTTATATTAATTAACTCACCAACAGTTTATGACAGTAGCGTGCTACGAAATTTAGCTATACTCTGAATGTAAATACAGCTCATTTTTCAAGAAAACTCCACAGCGTACCTTTTTAAAAAGTGTTAATGCAGTCCAGGGAAAAAAAGTATGCATGTGAACTACAATAATCGTATTTCATTGCACATCTGTACATTTATGTTTGTATCCACATTAGGATGAAGCAAAGTATTTATCACCTTAGAGGGAGCACACTGACAATACTATGACAAGATAATGAGCAGTTCTGCAGATCAGTTTTTCAAAACTGAAAATCAATTCATATTTTAAAGCTTTGACAGTGTGTGTGTGTGAACTGAAGAGGCAGAAATGGCACATTCACAATCAAATCCTTTCCATTATACAAAGAATCCTTCACAAACCAACTAAATCCTTCATTCTTCTCACCACTTCCTTCATTGGCCAATCAAATCCTTCAACTTAATGTCATATGATGGTCGCCAATGTCCTCCCTCTTCTTCAAAAGAGCCATAAATCCATACGATATCAAACACTACTAATCAGTTTTCTGATCACTCTGTTAAGCCCGTTATTGTTCAACTACTCTGTTACATTTTGATGTTACGATGTCACAGCCATTTCTCTCCCTTTGCATTGCGTCATCAGTCAGTCGCACCCTTCATTAATCTACCACATAGCGGCACCATCACATGATGGCACCAAACCAATCTAAATCTTTCTGTTTACATCCTTCACTGACCAACCGACTGCATCCCTTCATCCCATGGTTTTGCATTTCTTTGATGCAGTGTCACAGAATGATGTCATAGAGCCTGCCGACGCGGCCCAGCCACTCGCGCAGTGCCTGGCGGACGCGGGCGTCGGTCACGTGGCACGAGAGCTGGATGAGGCAGGGGTAGAGCGCTGGCTGGAGCGCCAGGAAGGAGGGATCTGACAGGAGGAGGACCTGATTGAGGAGAGTCAAGACCATGTTGGTCCACGCCTGCAAGGGGAGAGAAACAAAAAGCTCAATACCCAAGCAGACATTTGTTACACACACAGACACTTTGTCAGGAGATGGTTCCCACCAGCGCAAATTCACACACTGCAATACCATTTATGACCATTAGTAATAAAAATCAACTCCATGGGGAAACTTTTTTTTTTCTCAGAAAACCTTCACCAGGCATATTAGGAGGCTGTTTTCTATTGATTGCAATGCTTGTGCCCGTGGGGACCAGCCCAGCCATCGGTCCCCACGGACAAAATTGGTCCCCACGGCGTGAGTGATATGTCAGGTTATGGTCCCCACCAGGATAGAAAAACAAGAACACACACATACACTGTACCTGTATCTGAGCCTCGGAGTCCCTCAGTGAGATGCTGTGGGAGCTGATGGTGGATCCTGACCGTTGTCTTTTTTCCTGCCTTAGGACCTCAGGTCCTGCACTGACTGAGTGCCTCAAAGGCGGACCCTGCTGGTCCACCAGATGCTGGGGCCTCTGCGGGGGCCTTTGTGTCTCCCCGACACCTCCTCCTGTTGCCCCCCCACGACCCTGCTCCTTCATGAACAGGTTGACATGGCACTGCTGTGGCTGCTGCTGCTGCTGTTTCCGGCGTTTGTACTCCATCATCAGCTTGCTGATGGTTTTATCTGTGGCAATGGTGTACAGTTTGTTCCCAGCGCTTTCCCACCATTCTTTTCTCCTTCCCGGTCCAGCGCTGCTAGGAGCTCCTCCTACTGAGCTTCCTGTGATGCCGGAGTCCCTCCTCTCGCCTCCAGTCCGGAAGTGGTGGGGCAGACTGCCTGTACTGCTGTGAAGAGAAGAAATGGTCGCTTTCATTGGACAGATGACTAAACAGATTGAGCAGATTATCCAGCAACGAACAAGATGCAACAGATGAAGCCTTTGGTTGATTTTATATCCGTAGTTCAAACAACACCCATGTTGTAAGGTTATGTTCAGACTAACATTAGCACTTTGTGTGAAAAACATTTCCATAATGTGAGAGCAACTGTATTCTCACAGGCAGCAATGCGGCGTGTACCTCACTCATTTTCTACCAGGTTTTGCAATGTTCAATTAACTTGAGCTTTGACGCTGAATACACCAACCTCCCCTCTGTTTAAACAATGGGGTTTTGACAAATTTACTGTAGATAAAAATGGTGGAAGAGTCAAATTTACTCATCCCTAAATTTCCAGAGTTACGTAGCTCTACTCTCTGATCCTACTGGAACTTGGGTAGGAGGATGGGGACATCAGGTTTAGACAATTGACATTGTGATTGTTTACATTTAATGAAGCACATAGCTAACTTTGTTACCTGCTTCCAGGATTATGTTATGCATGCTTCATTCTGCACACTACCCTGTGCAAATTAGTCACTCTTGAACTTTTGCCCAACACACAATCACTGTATGTTTTTCTTTGTATGCACACAAATCAGAAAATAGGCTAAAATCCTAGATTATGCTTTCAGTCTGCTTTCACACTGCATTATTTTCCAAGAGTATTACCCCAATATGCTGGCTGGCTGTGCTGTATGAAAGGTACGGAGCTGGTATAGGGGGTTTGATTTGGTTAGCCTCTTAGCCCTTGAACATTGGCATTAACAGGAACGATGGCTGTGTGAAAATCCACAGCTGACATGCCAGTGTTGTATTACATGGTGGTTTTATGTTACTGGTTCAGGAAAGCCAGATGGCTATTTGAAAGCATATATTGTTGTGGAATTATGCCTCATTTGTTGTGTGGTATGAATGAAGTCAGACCTGTATCCTGGGCTGGGTGTGGGCGTGTCTCCTGGGATGCTGCACTCATGTCCGCGGCCTGACACCTGTACCCGCCGTCCTCTGATGGTGTCCCCCTCGCCGAAAGACCACCGGCTGACGTAGGCGTGGAAGTCTCAGACGGAAAGAGAGGCAGGAAGAAGACGTGATCTCCTCCTGCTCCTCCCCTCAGCAATGCCGTCTCCTCCAGGGTGTTCTCCAGGTCCCGGTGCATTTGGATATAGCTGTTGCACAGATCCATGCACAGCTTGTAGAGGCGTTTGACCAGCCAGGCCCAGTCTGCGCTGCCCAGCGGCTGCACGCTGAGAGATGGGATGGGGGCTCGCCAGTGATGACGTTTATCCCGGCCGCGAGGGGGGCTGACCTGAGAGGAGGACACAGAGTAAAGTGGATGATTTGATTTTTGATATTATAACAACAAAAAGTGATTCATCTTCTTTGTTACATTAGGAGGGTGAACAGTTCAGAAAACCCTGAACTCCTAAACTGGAACAAACTAAAGAGGAAATGGAAAAAGAGGGCAACAGGATGATTAATCCAGGTAAATCTTTATTGTTGTTTTTTATTTCTGTGGTGCCCATCAATCACTATGACCTCTAAGTGCGCGTGCACTATTTTCTTTGTCTATTTAGCCTTTATGTTTATCACTGCTTATCCTTTTGTACACTTCCTCTGGACTGAAACTCTCAAAGATTTCTTTAACTGTTGAATTGTCACTATCATAACACAAATGGATCATTATTCTTCTTACACCTCTTACAGCAACACTGAAGCTGTGTGTTTGCGCGTCACCTGTGCTGTTTCTTCAAAGATATCTTCGTCCTCTGACGAGGCAGAGCCAGGGTGAGAGGAGTCAGAGCTCCCTTCCTCTTCCTCATACAGGATCCTCTTCACCTAAATACAATGAAAGGTTCAAATGTGAAACTGAAAATCGTTAATGATTTCTTAGTGTCGTCTTAGTTGCATCTTTAAAGTGGTTGCTAATGTGTTGCTAAATGGTCACTACCACTACATTTCTGGGCGGTTGTAAGATGTTAATCTGTGATTGCTATGTTTTTAGTACTGTAGGTGCCAACAAATGCGAAGGTTTGCAGACTATTATTATTAAAAATGTAATAAATTTAATGAATTAGACAATTTTAATGTATTATTTTTGTGATGCTTTTTTCCAAAATACAAATACCTGCTCAGAACTTCTTTCATTAAACCTACCAACAGAAAAAAACTAAAACTGGCAAAGACAAACTGTAAACTAACTTCAAGTGAATAAATCTCCAACATGGTCACACACGTTTGACATGCTATAGCCTTATATAGTTGAAATGGCCAACAGTTGCCAATTTACACGTTAAGCAGATACAGAGCAACTTTATGTGGAGATGCGTCTCTGGACAACAGATGAATGTTAAGAACAATATTAAGTCAGTTCTCAACCAACTCGTTAGAAAGATATCTGGCTCTGTAGTTGCACTTTTCAGCAGCTAGTCTCTATCTTTGGTGCTGGGCAGACAGCGTACAGTGGGTTTATCAGAGCTTGTTTTATGAAAATGCGGTTGATTAGAGCACTAAGACCCAAAACATTAAAGTTTGGGCTGAAAGACACTAAAAGGCTCCGTAGAGCCAAAGGGGGGGAACTTCAGGGTCAAGTGAGAATTCTCTGTGGTTTTGTCACTAGGTGTGACCCTTTTCATACAGATTTATATTTTAAAGCAGTCATGTTGGAACAGGAAGGGGCCATCCCCAAACTGTTTCCACAAAGTTGGGACCATGAAATTTTACTGAAAAAAAAAAGTGTCTTGGTATGCTGAAGCATTAAGAGTTCCTTTCACTGGAACTAAGGGGCCAAGCCCAACCCAAGAAAAATAGCCCCAACAGCCAAACCCAGGCTCGTCCATCGGATTGCCAGACAGAGAAGCGTGATTTGTCACTCCAGAGAACACGTCTCCACTGCTCTAGTATCCAGTGCCGCCGTGCTTTACACCACTGCATCCAACGCTTTGCATTGCACTTGGTGATGTAAGGCTTGGACGCAGCTGCTCGGCCATGGAAACCCATTCCATGAAGCTCTCTACACACTGGTCTTGAGCTAATCCGAAGGCCACACAACCTTTGGAGGTCTGTAGCATTCGACTCTGCAGAAAGTTGGCAACTTCTGTGCACTGTGTGCCTCAGCATGGTCTGTGATTTTATGTGGCCTACCACTTTGTGGCTGAGATTCTGTTGTTCCCAAAAAATGTCGTAGTGAGGAAATTTCAAGAAGTTTTAATGATTGGTTTCTACCTGCTGTGCGGTCATGCTGTCGGCTTGGCTCAGTGTGGCACACAGCAGGGCCTGGAAGTACAGGTTGAAGCTCATGGCAGACTGACGATAAAGATTAGCTGCACCACAAACACCCGACACCTTCATCAGCAGGTACTTTAGACCCGGCCGAGTGTCAAAGTCCCGCGCTGTCCTGCAGACAAAGAGATCAGGAGAAAAATCAGCAGGATAACAGATATATAACAGTGTCAGTCTTATGTCTGACTTTCTTGTTGCAGTAACCTGTAAGAGTCCAGCAGCAGATCCAGGATTATGGCTAAATTAGTCATGGAGATGTAGCGCAGGAAGCCTGCTGTGGTTCTGCTGGGGTCAGAGGTTACAGGTGTGACCCTTTCGTGACCTTCGGGCTGCTTGACAACTCCTCCAGCAGGATGTCATAGAGGTTTTGGAGAAGGACCTGGTGGGACAGCAGGCTCACCACGATGGTCCTGAACGGGATCCTGTGGGATTCAGAAACCAGGATTTCAGTCATATTCATTCCGTTTTTTAACCGAATAAGGAATCTCTTGCTCCAAGAAGGAAATTAAAAATATCTACTGTAATTAACTGTAGAACACACATTTAAAGCTGCTGTATTGTGGCTTCTGAAAAAAATAATGACTTTCAGAGGAGATAAATTTTCCCCTCCTAGTGAAGTCCAATTTAATTCATTATTTTGACACAAAACTATTCAAAATGTCTTCATACTTGGATATGATCTGTGGAACTAATTTTGCCCTTCTTGCTCCAAAAAAATCTTCATGATTGTTGCTTTCCAGCCATAACCTTCAATTGCTGCAAAAGTTTAACAGAAAGTCAAAATTAAGGCTTTATATTGCAGCACTATTGGTATAATTTACAGTATGCAGGGTAAGTAAATATAGTTCAGATTAGTGGCCTCTTACTTTAAACTAGACGAAACCCACCTTAAACCTAACGGACTAAAACAATGGCTGCATAAAAACAAGTCTTGAGGATATAAAAGGTGATGCAGTACATCATACTGAATTTGTAGTGTGAGCGGTCAACAACAAACATCATCACTGTATTTATGGATGGATTACTTTTTTCAAACTGCATAAGCTCAGACTCGATATCATGTCAGTTTGAATCTTGTTACCAACAAAGGAAATACAACTAAATACACAAAAGGATCAACAGGGAATTACACTAATTTCAACAGGACTCATATGTGATGCTTTGGACAGGAAACTACATGTGTGACACACACACACACACACACACACACACACACACACATCACTGTACAACTGTGTACAATGAGTGATGTGTTGCACTATGTGCAGGTACAGTATGTGGATAGAGCTGCACAATGTCTCATATTTGAATTGTTAGAGTGGTATGAATTTCCACATTAAACACAAAAGAGCTGTGCTGTTGGAACAGCCAGTACATTCTTCAGTGCAATGTCTCAAAGTGATCCTTGATGAAAATGTCAATTTCTTTTTATTGCAGTGTGCCTGCAGCTGATTCAGCCACAATACAAGGAGACATCATTGCCACTATAGGGATAACAACAGGACATCAATTTCAGGACAAATTTGTCACACACCACATGTTTTCTCCACATTGTGCAGCTAATCTACAGGTGGGTTAGTTAGTTTGAATATGTAGCTCATACAGACCCATACTGTATCACACTGTTAAATCTGACAAACACACAGATGTCACAGAAAACAGCCTTACCCAATTTTCCTGTGACCACAGCAGCAGAAACACAAGCAGAGAGCAGTTAGTAAGAGTTAGATTGAGACTGCAATTCTATTTCCAATCATTTTTTTTAATGTTCAAACAAATGAATATTACAGGTCCTCTTTCTTTTGTAAAACTGGATTTGTTTTCTTTCTTAGTTTTGTAAATATAATATGTGAACACAAAGTATCCTCCAAAATTACTGCTCATCCAATATTTCTATTTTAAAAAAAGTCTGTTAACTAAAGAGCTCGACACAACGTAGGAATGAACCAAATGAAGACAAAATGGGCTGTATGTTGGAAAAACACACAGAAGCATCAAGTGTTTAATTATATGTTGTGGGCAACTGTTGAATTTTTTTGTCTTAAAGTATGGTACCAAAAGGCAAAACAGAACACGTAAAAATTTGTTTTCGAAACACATTATATTCAAAATGAAATTTGACTTTACATATGACCACAGTAAAATGCATGAACTCTTCACAACCTGATAAAATTTATTTCTGTACATTGTGAATCTTTCAGTTTGGCATTATATTTATCAGAAGGGTGAGAATTACTTATTGGTACTTTTTAACTTTTTAACACTCTTTGGCATTTGCAAAGAAATGTACTGAAATTTCTCTTTAGTAATTTATTTGGGCTGCAGTTCACAAAAGTAAGACAGTAAATTCGGTAATGTGTGCTTTTTTATGATATACAATATTCATTGTTTGTGTGGACCTTGAAATCCTCATCAAGTGGACAAACAATTACGCCAGCCACAAAAAAAACACCAGGATTGTTGTTGGTTAAAGTTTTAGTTAGAATTTATTTTGGGTTCAGTACTTTTAGTTAAAGTTAGAAGATATAAAATGCAACCACGTGTCATCAGATGTGGAGCAAAACATGCTTCTGCGGGTGTATTTGTGTGGATGTTGTCTACCTCTTCTGAGTGTGCCCGTTGGACTGCTGGTCAGATGGCAGCTCGATGATGAGAACGCACGACTGAGCGTGCTCAAAGCCCTCCTTGTTGTTGGGCGTCTTTGGGGAGCACTGGGTGTCCAACATAAAGACCTGAGACACAAAGTGTGCACGTCAACAAGCTCTCCTGTGCCACCAACAGTTGTACTAGTACTAATAATACATTAGTGTAGTTAGAAGTTGGACTTTTTGCTTATTGTAGTTTTATTCATGCATTTGAAATAAAATAAATTATATTGTATAATTCTGTTTGACCTTTACCTAACTAGATGGTCTCGAGATTAAAAACCTGTTTTTGTAACAGCTGTGGTCAAAACTGCATAATTATGTTATATACATACACACACACCAACACAGAAGGTTACATACACACAAAGAAGATAAAGGGGTAAAAACAATGATCACGACAACAATTTCTATAACAAAATGTTTATTTCAGCCAGAAAAATGACCATAACTTTGTGTTTATATTTATTTATGATGACTAGTGTATAATTGTAAGTCTGCATTAAATTATGAACAGATTGAAACGCAAAAAGGTCATCCACACTGTCAGAAGAATGTTTCTTCATAATTCATGTTAATTAAGGTTTGAAAACATATGGACTTTTGATTTGAGTTTGACAAACATGCAAATAACAATAGGACTTGACCATCGTGGGCCCTTTCACTGTCTCACTCTGCAGCACATAAAGTAGAGGTTATTTTCATGGTTATCGTACAGCATTTACGCCATACTGACCTGCTGAGCCATTGCTTTGATCCTCCAGTACTCAGCCTCAGCAGAAGGAGAGTGGGACGGAGCCGCCACCTTCACTTCGCAGGCGTCTCCAGAAAAACTGTCTGAACCGCTATGAAAACAGGCCAGAAGGTTCTACAGAGACACAGAAAAAAAACGCTTATTAAGGTGAAGTGATGTTTAATGATGCATATCCTCTCACCATAATTTAACATTGCACTCTACACATCTTTCACATCAAAAGAAAGATGCTGCTAAAGTCAACTAAGTCAAGCAGCTGTTGGTCAAATGCATGTAAACCTCTAAATGTGCAAAAGCAACATTTAGAAACAGACTGCAGACTATTAATTAAATGGCTCCATTACAAGACACATGTAAAATATAAACAACTGTGTAGGTTGTCGTAAGGGTTTAAAACAGGTACTTCTGTTTGATGTTTATACATTTATTCAATAGAGGACATGTCTTAATTGAATAACTGGGTCAACCGGTGGATGATGATGAGTCTCACTCGAAGACACCTTTGCTGAATACACAAATTAAAAGAAAACAATAAACAAGAAGTAAAACAACCACCCCTCCACTTACATTAAACAGTAAACACAAACTGTATGCATGATGCTAAAACCCCCGTTTTCATGTTAGAAGCTGGAATCCATCACCAAACTACATGTATGGCAAGCAGATGAAAACATTTTATACAGTTTAAAAGGCTACAGCATGTACATTATACCGGATGTGAGCAGAATGCATTGCTTATAAAATATTCAGCTTTTCTATAAACCAAGTCAGAGGCTATGTTTCTGAAAGCTACATGTCAGGGACAGCCAGTGTCAAACACTGCATTCTCTTGGATGATTTACGACCTCTGCACCCAGGTATTACAGCAAATATTTTTCCTTGGTGTATTTAAATGTGTTTATCAACATTATATATATGTATTCATGCAGCACATCTGAGAATTTTGCATTAGAATAACGGTGATATGTTGGTGACTGGAATAAAACACAGACACAATGAAGCATGGTGGTTCCACCCTGAATTAAAAAACAGATCCAATCCAAAATATTGTTTCCAGTTGTTGTGGAGCAACACATTCAACTGTAAAAAAACAAAAAAACTGTGGTTTGTTGGACAGCACTTTGGGGTGGACATGCTCATCTGTATGAATCCGAATCTTTACAAAGAGCTCACAAGATCAGCTAAATCTGATTCTCTCAACCTCCTCTGGGCCAAGACTCAATTTTATGCCCCAGAATTCTTAAAACCCTGAGGAGAAGCCATGTTGACATGTGAATTTAGCATTTTCATATTTTTACTCTCTATTTTCGGTATAATGACTTACACATGGAGTATAAAGTATGAAATGCGTTTAATTTTATCTTGTTGCTAATAACAAATCATACATACATTTAGATAAATCTGTAAATGACTCCCTGATCCTGAAGTTCAAAAACTAAGCTACACCACCAAGAATAAATCAAGATTATTATAAGCAGTAGGAAAAGTAATTTAATTGCTACTCTGTCCCATTTTACTATTAGATATGTAATATAATATATGTACACACATGTAAAACATGAAAATCTGCCCGACATACTACTCAAACAGCTACAGTTCAAAATGTAAATGCAGCTGTAACAGACTAGAACATGCTGCTGGATAATAAAAGCTCTTATATAAAAGACCATAAGACCTAAATAAATATGTTGCATTACATAAAACAATAACAAGAGCCCCAACATCAACAGTCACAAAAGCTCTTACATAAACAGAATTGACTGCATGTCGGTCAATGCAGCTAAGCACATGTTTAAGCTATATGTTGAGATTTTGTATATTAAAATGAGATGCATGTTTTAAGCCCCCCCCCAATGTAGAGATAAACACAAGAGTTAATATCAAGGTTTTATTAATCACCTTTGGTGCAGCAGCTCATCTGTTAGAAAAAAATCCCCCACAAACTGCTTCACCGAGAATAAAGAATAAAATAAAAGACATCGCATTTTATCTTCTTTTCTCTAAACTCTTTACTAAAAGACATCAAGAACTGAACCACAACTCATTTTATCCTAAAGTCACATTTTCTGGAAATAAGCAAAAAAAAAAAAAAAAATCTGTCAATGGCATTAAGATCATCATCTCTCTCTCTAACACACACACACACACACACACACACACACACACACACACACACACACACACACACACACGTGGTTCTAAGCTGTAAAGCTGCTTAGTTGCAGTTAGTCAGGCAGCTGCCACAGACCTGCAGGAACACACAGCATCCACAAATATAAAATGCCTGGCGATGTCACCTGCACTGCACTCACTCACACAGCGAGGTTAGGAGTTCTCTGTGTAAATTAAATGGAACAGCAGGGGTTGGAATCCCGCTGAGGCTGCACTCACTAAATCTGTGATCTCCCACAGCACTCAAAGACCACGTCCACACAGCAGGTACCATCATCAACAAATTAACACAAGTGTCGTCATTTTTCATAAAGCTGAGCAAGCTGGGAAATCATCCATACAGCATACGTGCAAATACTCAGCAAGGTCTAGGCAAAAAGACAATAATGATAATTATCGCAATATAATTTTCCTCAATAACAATATAAAAAATGTTCAATAAGCGTTTGATTTAAATAATTTAAATAGCAAACAAAATAATACATTTTACTTCAACTTTCACTGAGGAGGCAAAATCAGCCTTTAAACTTAATAATGACATTAATCGTTATAATTATTGAATTTTTTATCGTGATAACATTTTTGGCAGCATCGCCCAGCCCTAGTTTAACTACCGCTCGATTACACTTTCATTTAAAACTAAATTACATGTCCTCTGGGAAACCCTGCAATGGGGGAAACTTTCCATCCTCCTACTGTCTAAACATTTCTCACCACTTCATATTTTAAAAGTTTATTCAAACTTTAAACATGTCACCATATATTAACTTGAGACTTCATATTTTATACGGTAAGGCTCCTCACAAAGCCCACCAAAGATACTCTGACCAGATAGTCACTTATTTTTACAAGTTGCAGCACTGTACACAGTACATGGACCAGTCTACACAGCTGTTTGTTGTCAGGCTTATTGCTTTAGTCTTTTGGCAACCAACAAAAATGTATGTAGGAGTGAGAATTGAAGCCGACTATCAGACAGATTATTCTGCCAATTTCAGACTGCATGTTATTTAGGCCAAATTTAATTGTGCTGCTTTTAGACATTTGCCATTTGAGAACTTTGCATCTTTTGGGAAATTAAAAAAATTTTTGCACATCTAAGGCAAGTAATGAAAACTGCATTACACTACAGAAAGTAACAGGTAATCTTAACAGCAGCCTTTTCCCCCCTTTCTCCTCCCAGTTTAATCAGTTTAACAGTGAGAGGAGAGGAACAAATAAAACCCTGACACAATGAGGAGACAAACAGTTGTTGCTCACAGCTGCAGGACTCTGACGGTGTGTATGTGTGCGTGAGATTAACTGGGGTTATCAAGATTAACGTGGAGTGTCAGCATGTTGACAGTATTAGCAGCAAAGGCTTTTAGATTACTTCTGTCCCAACCAGCAGCTTCAGACTGGGGATGGATTATCTGGTTTACTACAGTGGACTCGCCTGTTGACTGCATGACAAGTGTTTCCATATGTGTATATATTTGTCATTTTCTTATCTGCATATTCCTACTTCCTGTTTACGTTTGTGTGTGTATGTAAATTTTATCTCTCTACACTACTTACCTTGACAGGCTCTAACGTAGCAGAGAAAGCATCCTGCAGAGCACAGCAGGCCAACCTCCACATTTCTTCTGTGAACACTGGACCCACTGTGACCAAAACATACCTGCGCAGAGACAACACAAATAAAAGTAATTAAATTAGACAGAGAAAAATTATTCTGTGTCAGTGTTGGACTGTGGCACATTGTGTTAATTTTTTGTTATTGTGAACAAATCAGACAAAAAAAACCATAACTCTCTCTCAAAAGTTTCTGACTACCCTGTCTGTGGTGCGCCACACCAATTTCTTTGAAGAGGTTCAGTCATTTCTTGTGAATAAGCTCTGTAGCTTTCAGCAGACATTACTCAAACCTGAGTAAACAGTGCATTTTTTTTGAGTACAGATTAAATCACATGTGGTGCTCTAGTGAGTATTTGGGGCAGCAGGAGTCTGCGGGGCTGAGTCAAAATAAACTACAGTGTGTGCGTTCATGGTAATGAAGGAACATGTCACCCAGTGCAACAGTGATGCTCAATCACATGTTTGTTTTAATAATAATAATAATATGTTTGGGACAACAATGGAGCTCTATGGCACAGAGGACTAAAATATTAATCAAGTTTTATTTAAAGTGCAAAATCACCAAAAAAAACATGGTCCCAATACACTTTACAAAATATACCAGAATAAAATACAGAAGGCACATGATAAAAACACAAAATGTGATGTTGTCTGATTCCTGAACCCTAATTGGGACATGGTCCCTGTTTCAGAAAGCAGGTTCAACAAACTCTAGTGTAAACCTGAACTCTGGGTTGTAGAACTCTGAGTTTTCCGTTTCAGAAAGGCTGATCAGAATAAGTTAGTGTGTTGAGCCTGATTGAAGTGTGTGCGTGGGGGTGAAAAAAAGCCATCATCAATGGAGCTCCGATACTACGATTCACCATGGCAACGGGTAAATAAAGGCAGAGCCTCCATTTTAATCGGCTGGAGCTAGAAATATGAATGCTGCCAACGCGGACCCTGATTGGCTCTAAAACGCAGGAGTGGAGGATCGATGCGTTAACAATATTACTTTTTATAGAGCATTGCTCATTCATCATTTACCAGACTGGAATTTCCTTAATGATTAATAAAGAGCTGGAATTCTCCTCCAGCTTGTTATTCATTTTAAATAGGCTACAGGCCTGTTTATTCAGCTGGAACCTGATGGGAATAAATGCCAGTGATAATAACGGAAGATGAAAAATATTAATCGAACAGATTAGACACAGTTTAGGCTCCTCATGGACCTGTGATCGTAAAGCCACAGTTTTTGTAATGTAAAATGTTTCTAGGTTCAAACTGACTGTGAAGTTTAAGACGTCTATGTCACAATCCTGCTCATTTCGTATTTTATGAAAGGCTGTTAAAACACATTCAGACTATCACCAGATAATGAAAAACTCACTTTTAAACTACATGTGTTTGTTTCAGCTGCACCACAGTCTCCTCACTTAGAGATATTCACATCATATCCAGTTGATAACTACTATAGGAATGTTCAATCTGTGCGACTACAAGATGAAATGTTACTGTTCACTGATCAGTTTTGTACAGATTACTTTAAAACTGCGGCACTGTAGCGCACAGTAGGCCTATGTTTTTTGCCTTAATGTCCACAGAGTCACTGTGTTATAAAGGACAGTGTAGCTTATAGATTTTATTCTGTGCTGAGGATAAATTTACGATGTCCAACTCTCTGTCCATACATGGATGACAGATGTTCAAGATCAAGTTTGGGTAAAAAAAAACAAAAAATGAATGGCCTTTTAGCCGTGATTTGGATGTTTCTAAAGACGTAATTGCGTTCCAATATGTGCTTTGATATCGACAGTATAATTGAGGAAATGAAACGGTGTGTGAGACAGCCGCTTCAAGCTCCGCAGGAGGGGAGGAGTCAGAGAGAAACTCAGCGTTAGTTGAAGTAAACCTCCTCCCGAGCAGGTTAGGTTCACAGCGTAAGTTGCCGGGGTTACAGACCTAGAGTTATCTGATCTCAGAGTTACTTACTCAGAGTTTTCACTAAACCCGCTTTCTGAAACAGGGCTCTGGTTGCATAGTAGAGGTGCTTGATAACTGAAGGCTCTGGCTTCCACTCTAACCTTAAATAAATTATATATACGTCTTTGACTACCCACAAACTGATTGTTATATTAGGGATGCACCGATCTGATACTGATATTGGCTTTTGGCCAGACACTGGCTGGATCAGGTATTGGTGACAAAGGGGCCAATCTATTAGGCTGATGGATTCAGTTCATTTAAATGGGTACTACCCAATGTGTCAGCAGTGCGCCGGTAGACCCGAACATTTTGTTAGGAGAGCGAACATAGCATGGAGGGAGCTAAAAACAAGAGGTCAGCAGTTTGGAGGTATTTAACGTTTGCTAAGGCAACAAATTCTATGGGTACTTGCAATATCTGCAAAGCTAATGTTTTGAGCGGGGTCGGTAGCACTGCAAAATATAACACAACCAACTTAATCAAGCACCTCCAGAAGCTTCATGAAAAAAAAAACACAATTCCAGTTCTTCCTCACAGTGAGGAATACAGCTTAAAATTTTACATTGGTATCAGATGGCTACTACTCGGCACTGGCCAATACCCAAAGCCCAGGTACTGGTATCCCTATATACTATGATATTTGTTGTTAGTTTTGGTCTTTTTGTGCCATTTGCTGACAATAATAAACATGTAGAATATCTTAAGCCTTATTCATAAACATGTAGAATATCTTAAGCCTTATTCTTTGAGACAGGGATTCATACTTCTTAGAATTTGCCCACAAAATCCCAGACTTTACTTACTGTACCAATTCAAAGTAGGATGGGACAATTTGGGGATATTTTCCCATATTTTTTGTAGTTTGGCGAAGTTAAGAAATGAATGTTGACAAGCAACAGTTGTTTTTTTCAGCCACCAAATTGGCTAATCCCTTCTCCTCGTACAGCTTCTGGTTCAGACATTAATAATTTAGTTCACCATTAAAATCTCAGCTCTTGCCATTTAAGGCATGCACTCCTACTTTGTTATTTTGATTTAAAAGAATTAAACATTCAGCCCAAAGTCAACCCAAGACCACACGGTAAGATTCCTGAATTTCAAGTTTCTACATGGATTTCACTGTGGTGACAGATGTACAATTGACAACTCCCAAAGAAGACCAAGAGTTAAGTGTTGTCACCTGATGCAGGAGCAGCCCACTCTGGAGATGGTCTCTGCAGGTTCAGACACACAGGCCACCAGAAGCTTGAACAGATCCTTCAACATCAGGTTGATCAGAGACTCGTAACCAATATCTGCAATAAGGGAAGGCAGGAACACACCACAAACACAACTCTGTCAACACACAGGATAGAGGTGGCGTGGAAACAATTTAATTTGACTAAAGAGGATCCCATTGGAACAACAACAACATCAATCACGCTCCATTTCCCTTCGGTGAACTGAGCATGAGACAAACAATAACCGTTAAATGGATCTGTGACGGGGCACCTTGAGTTTAGAATATTTTACCACAGATAACACAGAGTATGTACCTAAGGTTAAAACAATTATCCTGGAATGCTAAAATCGAATTCCTTCCTTCTTTCCTCTCCTCGTCGTCTCTTCCTTTCATTTCTTTTGGCTGGTAATGTAAATTATCTACTGAAATGATCGTGACACACACACCATGTCCGCTTAACAAAGCTTTTACACACAAACTGAGCACAAATTACAGTGTGGAACGAAAAATCAGAGCCAAAAACAATTGCAGCAAATAAAGGTTTGTGCTTAATTGCGACACTATTTGGATGACTGGTTTATGAAATGTTAAATTGTAAAATCTTATCTGATCTGAAATAGCAAACACTTTCAAAATATTTAATCATCAGGCAGCTTGTGACCGATTTAAGAATAATAATAAAAGTGCTTGTTTCAAAACGCCAGTCGACGTTGGTGTGCAACGAATTCAGAATTGTGTGGAAAATTACCCTTCTTTGTTACACCTAAACCCTCTTGACACACACACACACACCTGAGTGTATGAAACTGTTGACATGCTCCACCACCAGCTCGCAGCACAGCCCAATGGCATGTTTGAAGTTTGCAGCTGCTACATCCCAGTAGGAGTGGTCGCCATGGCTTCGCTGCAGCCACAGTGACATCACAGGAAGCAGGAGCTGGATGACGGAGAAGATGGCGAACCCTGGACCTGGAGGAGGGAGACAAGTTGGACAAAGCGTCTGGCAACGTCGCAAAGCAATAGACCAGCTTGAGTCTCCGCTTGTTTCGGGGACCTTTTCCCTTCAGTCTGGTCTTCAGCCGGCAGGAGATCAATTGGATTGAGGTCCTTTGTTAACTCATCCTTATGTTTAGGATCACTGTCCTGCTTTATTGTCCTAAAAATGGTGTGACTATCTATAGAAACGGATCTGTGTCCTACACTGTTCAGCTAATATGGATGTGAACACTGTCAGACACTCAAATCCACAGTGTCTGTGGGTTACCTGGTACACTGGTGACCTCTCTGAGCAGAGTGAAGAGCAGCTCCAGGGTTGGAGGCTGGTGTTGGCGAGGACAGTTTGACACTGCTGCTGTGAGCTGCTCCAGTAACAAAATCCACACCTGGATCAGACCTGCAGGACAGAAAAGATGGTAACACACAGCTGGGGTTAGACAGAGCTTCAGGATCAAAAAGTTCAAAAGACAGAAAAGAACTGATGATTCAGTTTCAGAACACATAAATTACAGGAAGAGAGACAAATACTTTACCTGTGTCATCATCAAACTCCTGCAGGACACAGTCCATCCCGTCCTCAGCGCTGATTGAGCGTTCCTGTGATCTCATTGGCAGGCTGGCGAGCCTCGCCCCCAAGAACACCGGCTTGGACTGCATCTTGTAGATCTTTGCCAGCAGCTGTCAAATTAAATGCAATATGGCTTTATTAAGTCACAGGTGAATAGAGGCACAAATATCTGCAAACATGCTTCTGCTGTCTGTGACTACCCAACAAAAATGTTGACTATCAATCTCTGTGGTGTCTGTACACTGCTTAATGTTACTTTGGGACTGTCTTGAGAAGAAAATGTGTTATTGGTGTATTTTTTTAAGTCACAAAGGATCCCTGACGAAACTTTTCATTTTAATTTCAAACTCTTGTTTTAAGAGTGCAGCAGTAGAAACAATATCTAACATTTGCTTCACTATTTAGCTCAACCTTAATAAGAAATGATTTCAGCGTAATACCCAGAGTTAACAGCGGGCTTCATACCTGCGAACATTTGCGAAGGTAGTCAAGAGCGGGCAGGCAGAGGTCAGTGGAGCTGAAACCTGACACATGGACACAGTCTCCAATCTCTTTATAGTCCACCTCTCCTACACACAAACAAAAAATGTTTTTGTTTACTCTGCGATGTAACAACCAAGCCACGTGATACAGACAGCCTTTGACATTTGTAAAATAAAACATTTCTCTTTAATCTGTGCTTGTACAATTAATCTATCAAATGTTAAATTGAAAATCGTATCCAAATTAGAGATCTGAAATGTTTGCACAAACCTTAGAATCACTTGCAAGAAGAAAATGGGTGCATGCACACACACAAATCCCCCATCCTGCCACGTGTCTGTACACACTGCACATACATGTCATGAGCGTCTTACATCAAACGCACAGTTTACTGACCAATACCAGGAAAAATAAAATCCCTTAAGGCTTGTAAAAGTAATATCTCACGCTGAAAAAAATAGCATGTACAAGTGAGACAAACCTAGGCCCTTGACGAACTTCATGAGGCACATGATGTAGTCAGTGGCAGCATTGGCAAAAACCTGGATGTTATCAGTGTTGATGAAAGCCTCAAAGACATCGAACACTGGAGCCTGGGACTTCCCTAGAGGAGAGAATGGGAGGGATGGAAGGGAGAAAGGGAAACAGAGAGGAAAGGGAGGAACAACAGAGGAAAGACAGCGTTAAGGAGGGGAAAGGAAGAAAGATTGAGGCACAGAGGATGTGAGGAGGCGAGAAAGCAGGCAACTTTCAGAACTGTCAGATGATAAACTTTAGCTCTTTTTTAAATAAAATGTGTGTACTGGTTTATAAGACAGCCTGTCAGACGTACCCATGGAGTATTCTCCCAGCAAGTAGTCTTTGGTGTCGGTCTTGCTGCTGTGGACGGTCCTCAGTGCGCTGAACAGAGGCCTCCATCCTGACAGGATCTGAGGGGAACACATCTCCACCAGCTCGCCTATTGAAGTTATCACCTGCAGGGAGGAAAGTCGAGAAACACCTTCTAAACTGTGCAGCAAAATAAAGGTGCTACATGTGAAGCTTCCTGATTTATTGATTGATGTTACAGTATAAAGCTTTGACAGGATTTCCTGTGTTTATAACCACTTAACGCCGATTGTCACAAATTCGCGTCACACCGCTTCTATTCAGACTGCGGCAGAGATAGCGTATGTAGTCCCCCCGATGCCTGTTTGTGCACATTTGATACGCATCTAGGAACCTTTTGCAAGCACTAGTTTCTCATTTAAGCCTGTTCTAGCTAATTTGCATCACACCTACATCATACCTGAATTTATATCTCTTCTATGTTCTATAGACAAATTAACAATCTCCACTTAATTTAACATCAGCTTGAAAGCAAATGAAAACACAAATAAGTAGTTTTCTTATATGTTTGTAAATAAATTCAGGCGTCAAGGGGTTAAAGAGATTCGACTCTACCTGGTCCTGTACGTCCTCATCACAGAGCTCCAGCTGCATGATATGCTCGAAGGGCCTGAACAGCGCCTCGTTGAAGTGGAAGTGCGGAAGCTCCGCCCAGCTCGTCAGCACCTCCGTCAGAACATCATGGATGAAGGAAACGGCCTTCTGGGATACGTGGCGCTCCTTGTGACATGACGCCTGGGAGAAGGAGACACTTTTACTGTGTTTGCAGTGAGCTTTAAATATGATCTTTACACAGGTGATATTTATTTAAACCTATTTATATAAATATGTGCACATTTTTATATATGCAGTACCTGTAATACATTTTTGGAGATTACATTGTAACTTTCATACCTATTTTGAGCATATTCTTGTCAAATAGCCTCTCTCTAATTTTGTTTATATGTGGTAATGAGACAGTATTTCATTAACTAGAACTGCTGCTACTTGAGTTAATTATTACTGCAAGTACATGACCACTGTGTGAAATTAAGAGTAACTCACAAGAAAGGAGAAAGAGGAGGAGAAGGTGATGGAGTGGTTTTTTCATTAGGAATTAATTTGAATAAAAGCATGAGGTTAACAAACTGATTTGAATGCAAGTACACGATTGTACAAGCGAAAATTTGCTACTGGCTCTTGAAATTGTAGTAGGTGGTCACTAACAGTAATTTACAACAAGAATCTGTTGGACTGATGAACCTTATGAACCAAACATAAACAACTAAAACATTAACATTACAATATTACATCAAAGCTTTTAAAAGATGGGATCATATGCATAAAGTCTGCAGTAATCTGACCTATGATGAACCTTCTAAGATGGCGCTGTGCATGTGGCAGCCTGCTGCAGCAGCTCTGCCTTTTGTTTTTAAAAAGGAGGCTGAAGTTCCCCACCTCCACCAGATGTGCAGCCACAACGCTCCAGGCCCTCATCATGTGGAGCAGAGGTCGGTTCTTGTTCCTGACGATCCGCAGCATGGCCTCGCCCAGACGGAAGAGATGGAGAGCACTGCGTCTGTCCAGCGTAGACTTGGCCTCTCCTACACACAGAAGGAAGAAAATGAGTCTGATTAGGTTTTATTCATGCCTTTGTTTCATCTGATTAAATATTTTGTTTCAAAAGAATAGAAAGAATGAAAAAGACACCTAAAGTAAGCATGGACCTTCTTCACTTCTTGATTCCCTTTATGTTCTGATGACTTCAATAAATGTATGAGCTGATTTTACATGACCTAATTTACCCCTCAACTGTTTCTTCATTCTACTATTCTCTTTAACCAACAGACCATTAGAATATTTTGAACATTATAATAAAAAAGTATACAAATTTATTCCCTAACTTCTATACAACTGTTTAACACATTAACATTATCTCTAATTATGTTAAATCCTACTACTACAACTTTCTTAACAGGTAACATCAGATTTTGAGAGCCAGGTGATCTCAAAGTCCTGTGTGTGTGTGTGTGTGTGTGTGTGTGTGTACCTGGCATTGCCAGTGAATAATCTCCAGTCTCAGTAACAGAGTCAAACAGCTGAGACTGAGAAGCTTTCCTGAGCTGCTGTAAGAAGCCGACCAGACCAACCAGGTTCAGCTTGGTAGTTGCTTCTTCAAACAACCTGAAACAAGACACACACACACACACACACACACACAGAAAGTGCATCATTACATCCGTTTACAGTATAGATGTAAATACAAATCTAATCAGCAGATCATAGATATCAAACAGTTGCTGCAATACGGGTTTTCTTTGAAGGGCCGAGGTAAAGTGAGATGAGAAGGTGAGAAGTTATGTGAAGTGAAAACATTCCCTTGTGAAGAAAAGGTTAAAAAAACACAACGAATAGAGTGAACTTTCAGAGTGCAGAGGAACACATTTTTAAGGCAGAAATGCAGCACAGTCCCTCTAAGCTGAGTGTTTCTGGGGACAGCCCTGTGCAGAGTATTTACTATGTCTTGGCACCACTTTCAGCTTGTAAATGTGTTCAGTACATCTGTGCTAAAAAGATCAGAGGGAACAGTTGTTTTTTATTCGCTCCTAAAAGCAGCCTAGATAACTGGTTATATAAGAGATGATCCTCGCAATGAACACATAAATACTAGTGCCAGGGAATAAACGTGAATAAGTGCAGAACTGTTGGCACGCACAATCGTATTTCTTTACTTGTGGACCCTAAACTTCATTCTACATTCAATCCTAAAACCTAGTCTTAACCCAAACAGCCCTTTGAAGAAGTGATGACCACTAACACTGTCCTCGTTTTTATTTCCTTAACTCACAAAAACAGCACACAAACACAGGTATGCACTGCTGCTGCCATCTTGTGGCTGTAAAAAGTCATGATGATCCACCAACACAGTACCTCCTGCAGAGCACCAAATGTCGGTGAAGTGGGGTTTTTGGCTGATAAACTCATTAGAGTAAACATCATGCTGGCTGCTAATTTAACACGGTGATAACAGTGAAGCCACAGACGTTTATTGGGCTGTTGCACTAGAATTATTAACTTAATTGAGGAACCAGGTAGCTTTTCATATTCTACACACTACACACTATGCCTTTTTTGATATACTCATTCTTTTTTTCATATTATGTAATTTGACCTTTGTCAAAGATGTATGAGATCACGGATCACCTTCCTAACTTTGCTTTGGGTCTATAAGTAGTGATGATATCACTGTGATATTTATTGAATGTCATATCTGGGCCCTACCTGTCAGCCTGTGTTGACAGCGTACACACAGCCTTGGCAGCACTGGTCCCGGTCATCAGGCTGCCGCCCTTTAGGTCCAGACCTCGGCCTCCTCTGCTGCTCTCCCTCAGCAGCTCCTGGATGGACAGAGGCTGGATGACTGGCTGGCTCAGGCCCAGCTCCGAGGCCTCCGGGCTGGGCTCGCAGCTCATCTCCAGCCCCAGGTCCACCCCAGCCACCTGGTGGCTCTGCTGGGTGATAGTGGTCAAAGAGGACGATTGTGAGGAGCCGTCGCTGAAGTGGGTGTGCTCCAGTGAACTGATGTACTCCGTCACCCTGAGAGAGAAATAAAAGTAGAACACAAGAAATAATTTAGTAAATGTAAACATAATGTATTAGCACTGTCTCGCCAGAATTCTTCGTTTTCACAGACTCTAAATTAACAGTGGGGTTTAAAAAAACCGTTTCTTGAAAATATAATCTTATTTCCTGATTTTCTAATGTTTGTAAGGGAAGGATAATGTTATATATAGTGAACTTTAATTTAACCAAAACATTAAGCTGACCAGTTTGTGTGTACCTGAACACATGAGGCCAGCAGTCGTGGTTGTGGCTACCCATCTCCAGTCCTACGTTCAGGATGGCATCCATACACAACACATGAGCGGTGTGGAGGCGAACTCCCTGAGGACGACTGATCTGCTCCAGGCGCTGCTCGACACGCTGCTTCACTGGACACACACACGCATGCACAAATGCATTTGCAGAATTATAACATACACAGTCAGATGACAACAGACAAATTTACAATTAGAAAAAAATATTCAACATGCACAAACTTACAGAAACACACACAAGCCTAATACCAACCTTGTACTAAAATATATCTACCGTTAATGAACAGACAGTATAGTTGATCAGTAATCATATACACACGCGCACACACTGAATGAAGGTTTGGCTGGTAATGAGCATTAATTACATTTAACAAAACTGATTGATGCATGTCGTTGAAAGCTCTTAAATCTAATCTCAACATTCTCCTTGCTTTCATAGAGGATTGTAAAAGATGAGAGAAAAGGAGTTCCCCGCAGCTGTCTCTAGATGTCACTAAAGCTCCATTTCTTACTGATCACACCTTCAGCATCCTTTTAGGTAATTCTCGAGCACAGTTTCAGCAAGTATTAATGATTCCAGTGTGATCTGTTTTAAATAAAAGAAGCCATCATTCAAAACTCTCTTTATTTGGGGAAAAAAATATTCAGGTCTCTTTTTGTTTGAAGCTATTAGCTGTTGATTATTTGTGCAAAATAAATGCAGTCAACTCAAATTATGTGTTAAGTTATTGTGTATTCGTCAACTACTAATCCGTCTTGTCACTGATCTCCTCATCTTTTTCTCTCCGGTGCCACAAAAGGTTTAATTTGTATGGACGTAATTAAAAAAACAGCACGCGCTCTCCTTGTGTACCTTGTGTGATGGCGTCTCCCGTCTCTCCCACCTCCTTCTCCTCCTTCTCTTCTTGCACACAGGAGGCCGCGGCCATCTGGGCTAAAGCTGAAGCACAGTTGGCCGCCACTCCTGATGGCCAAACAAACATACACACGGTGTAAAGACTTGCTGTTGAGTTTCATTCATCACCTCATCCTAAAAACATCATTGCTGCCTGCACAATGAAAACTTTGACTCTATTGAGAAGATTTCTCACACACGTATAGTATATCTGGTTTTTCTACTCTTTTGGGTGCATTTAAATCTAAACTGGCAGTAAAAACTGCACCATCCCTCCCCACATACTGTCCTCTCTCCGCAGTTGAGGTTGTACACCATGTGTTCATTCATATTCATTAGTGCTTCTGTGTCGATAATTTCACTCAGCTTTCATCCCCTGTTGGCCATGCTGTTGTGCCAGTAACTGTTAATAACTGATACATTCAGATTGTTAAAAGGGGTTGATAATAAAAATTTATATCCCCTGATATTCTCTCTAAAACCTTCAGTTAACAGATTGTATGAAAACCTTAACTCCTCCGTTAACCTCCAGTGGAGCTGCAGAGTGTCCAACAGGTTCATCTTGTACAGAGCAGCTGTCACTTGTATAAGTGTTAAATTTAATTAATATGTAGCAGGATGAAGCTGAGAAAGAATAGTACTGCTCAGCATAACCTTCCCTGGATGAATAAATCCATATATCCCAAAAGTCACAGATACATGTTTGTGCATTTATGCTATATTTCTTTAAATCTGGGGTTGACCAGAAATATTGTATATGACTCACAATGGCAGCAGACAGCTACAAAGTTCAGTTTGCCACCATCCATGCAACCCAGCTGGTTGTTTAAGCAACAGTCAGCAGGTTGAAATGCTCAATGTTGATTTCTATACAAAGTTGTGGGCAACTGCCAGCGGCAACCAACCTGCAAGAACCACATTAGATGTCCTCTATTATTTTTTACTGCAATGATCTGACTTTGTGTACCGCTTTGTATTTGCATTTGAATTTCCATAAGACAAGGATTAAACACACAGTGCTGTAATATATAGTAATATAGTCCAACAATTTAATTTCTTTCAGTATAATCAAGAAATTTGCACACTGCAAAACTCATATTTACTGTTAAAAGGGCATCTTTGTGCTGTAGGCAAGTTTCATTCAAAGCTTAATTTCACATTTCATCTGATTTCATTTTGAGATTTGATGTGTCAAAACCTGAGGGCTGGCATCTGCACAACATCTGTGTGATTGTCAGAGTGTTTCACTGTGACTTGATAAGCTGCCAATAGATCCTATTTTATGTTAATTTAAGGCCCTGCACACCCTCTCACGTTTTCTGGATAAGACTTCTGCTCAGGTTGGAGCTACGCTGGGAATGACTTGAGGTCAGCAAACTCCTTGTACTAATAAAAGACTCACTCTCATTACAGCCTCTACGCTCGTTTGTGTGGAGAGTTTGTCATATAAAGGGCCATCCCAAACCAGTTAGTGTGGAGACAAAGTGAGCAATAAAACTTCTTATTCATCCACCACTCCTGTCTGGGCGCATGGCTGCTGGATAATGTAGGAAACATCATATACATGTAAGTGATGCTTACAGTCTCTGGACTGGATTTTATAATTACAGGAAGGCAGTTTGGGATAAAACTCCACAGCTGAAGGAGCAAAGTTTCAAAGTGCTGTGAGTGTGACACTCCTTAGTAACGAGCTACTGGTTAGGGATGGGTCTGAGAAGAAGTTTTACTGTAGTGCTGGAAAGTGAGGGAAGCATCAATCAGCCACAATCTGTGCCACACCCAAACAGCTCTAAGAGGTCAAATCAGCTACAACTAGTAAACAACACCTGTGCAGGGGGACCAAAGCTGTGTGGGACCTTTTAAGACACCAAATTAAAATTGTATATATTTCCATTTGTTGCTATTCCAAGAGCTACAAAAGTTGCTGTCCGCTTTGAAAGAAAATCAGCATCGTATCAGGGCAGGTTGGTTCAACTGGAAGCTTTCAGTGGCTGTGTAGCTTCAGAAAATAAGTGTAGCAACTGAAAGCACATACATGCCTCCAATTCAATTTAGACTTGAGTCTGTTCCAGCTCCAGGGCTGCTGCTGACGACTATCTAACCCTGACTTTTGACCTCTCTGTGTTAATGGGAGGGAGAACAGAGGACTCCTTGCAGGGATGAGTGATGTATCTCATTTTTCTTATTAATACAGACACATGAGACACGCGTTTCACCAACCCAAGGCGCAGCTGAGAGCAGCAGCTTTGCGTAGGCCGTCTAAACTCAGACAGATGGTGTCTCTCTCCCTCTGGCTCTGCTCTTTGATCCCCTCTGCTCCCAGGATGAAGGCCAGGCCCTTGGAGCTGCCCGCCATGCGGCCCGTCAGCGGCGTGGACAGCACATCCATCAGGTTCTTCCACACGCCGGTGAGGATGAAGCGGGCGAACACGGCTCCTGAAAAACACACATGCTGAACTGAGAAGTGTTGAAGAGGACGGAGAAAAAAAAAATAGATTGTTACTAAAGCGTATACCTATCATTTGTTCCCTCCCTCATCTCTCAATTGTATTTTTTTAATATGGCATAACAAAGGTACACAGTGTTTCATTGATTTATATTCTGATGGAATACCTGTGAACCATTTCTTTAGGTACCTTCAAGTTCGTCACTTTGTTTCAAAAAGTTTTCCTAATTGTCCCTTCTTACCTCCTCAACGACCATGGGATAGATTGCTTAACTTTAAGCCACAACAAAGAGGGATCATCTCAGAAATGTATAACCGTATTCTGGATCTTTGCAACTACACAAACTCGTGGCATATTTTGCAGACTTGCAGGTCTTACCAGGCAAAGTTCTCTTATGTTTTTGCTGTATTTATATGATTTTTAGCAAGCCAGGGTGTGGGGGTTTCTGAGTGGGCAGGTTAGGTCCCTTTTCCTTTTCTTATTTTCAGTTATCTGTTTAAAATCTAACTTGTAAAAGATGCCTATTGTTACGTAACTTGATTCAGTTTTCAATTAAAATATGTTGCAAAAAAACCCAAGCAAAAGTGTATATCTGTCAGCCGGGGTGACTCAGCAGCGGTTACCATGGCAAGTCTGGCCAGAAGGAGCGCAGGTGGTCCCTGACTCATTGTCTCCATTTCTCTCTGCACCTGCCCCTCCTATTCGTTTCCCCTCATCTGTTTTTTCCCACTGCAGTTACACCGAGTCAGTCAGTGACCTAACAATTGTCAGCTTAGATTTTTATTTCAGCGCTTTAATATTTTAAAATATGCTGTCACATTCACCAATTGACTTTTTTTGTTCTTTTCCATGATTTCATTGAATGGACACAATCGCACTGATCTAAAGCACAAATTCAAATGCAGAGGTTAATGCAAAGAAGGTTCAAAAATGCAAAAGTGATTTGGTTTTGCATCTTGTGAGGTAATTATTTATTATATCAAACAAGTTTCAGATCAGCAATGAATCAGCAAAACAGACTGAAGTTTCAATAAAAACATGATGAAAGCCAAAACCTTAATAACCATCATCAGATCTTTATTATGAGTGCTGGCATGTTTTTTTTGCTGTTTCAGGGTTTCTGGATAAATTTCACTAAATATTTCACATGATTTGAATCAGTGTTCTATGACCTACAGTACAGCATGATATAAACCACCCCAATTTTAATCTATTCATCTATCATGGCTTTGCTCATCCATGTCCTCTAATTTTAAAAGGCACCACAAAAAAATGGTTTGCGCACTTGACCATGCGGCACTGTTCTGGGACGCTTCATCTTTCACAGCCAGTGGAGCATTTTCAACTGATTAACTCAGCAGCAGCTTCAGTTTCAGGATGACTGAACCCTATTTTAGAAAAGCTTGAGCTGGGCTTATTTGGAGGCTCTGGAGTATTTTTGGAAGAATGTTCAAAGGAGAGGATTTTCCTCAATCATGTAAATCTTTTAAATTAAACTCCACTGCGAGATATAATTGTACTTTCTTAATTTCCGTCTTTTCACAGCTGAAGGAGAAGAGAATCAGGAGGCTGAGAGTTTAGCATAACTACATATTGTGTAAAAAAAAATATATATTACAGTGATACAAAACTAATGAATACTTCACTGAATGGGTGAACCGTTGCATCCATTAATCCATCCATCATATTTCTTGTGTTTTGGGTCAGTTTTAGGATAATGAGCTACTGACCTGCCATCACAGTGTCACTGCCAGCCTTGTCGCAGCTGATTGGTGATCTGCTGGACGCCCTCCTGATCAGCTGCCCTCCAATCGCACTGCTGCCCAGTCCGTCAATATCTGAGAGAGGAGAAGTGGAGTACAGAGGGGAAAGAATGACAAGAACTAAGTGGTCAAGCTGGGAATCAGCCACATCCAGAGTCTGTTGACCAACACTGACATCTGATTATGTTAGTTCTGAGTAACTGGCGGTAATTTGGTGCCATTTTAAAAAAGTTTTCCCAGGTGTTTCCACTCCCTCCAGGGGCAAAATTTGCAGAGATTGAAGTGCAAATTATTGTGGGCTGTGTACCTGTCAGCATGGTCATGAGCGGCAGTGTGTGGTCGTCCGGTGAGCACCAGTACCCAGCCTCGGCCAGCAGGTTGCGCTCCAACACTTTGTGGTAAAGCTCTTCGATCCAGGCCTGAGACAGAAACACAAGGACCCCGCTGCTCTGGATCAGACGCACAAACTCCTTCTGTAAAAACACACAGCACACATCAAAATCTATTCTTGGGACAGGGAGATCAGATGGACAGAGTCTGCAATTACATCACAAATTATTCTATTTCCTTATTTATTTCATTATCTTTTCTGCTTTTCCTCTACTCCAGAAGAAGGGCCTGGCAGACTCCTGTAATAATTTCAAACCTTTTTTTCGAACTTAGTCTTGTCTAGTATACTTTACTTGTTTCTTTTCTTCTTTACTTTAATCAGCAGCGGTGTGGGATGCAGATCATTTACTAAACAAAAAGTAGCGATGACTAAATGTGCAAACACTCCAGTAAATACCCTGTCATAGTTTTTTGTGTGCGTTTCAACCAAAACTGTGTGCTCACCAGGCTGAGAACGGGGGTGAGCGTTCGCCGTCTGTAGTAGTCACAGCAGCAAAGTTTGAGGTTGAGCAGTAGAGCGTAGTACGACACCAGGTAGAGACCATCTGCGTTCATCAGAGACTGACAGCTCAGAGTGTCACCTGTCTCAAAACCTGGAGAGTGGATCCCACCTGGAGAGAGGGGGGGGATCTTTTGTTTATTGCCAACGCTGAGCACATTCATTTACATCATTCAACAATAAAAAAAAAAACAGCAAGAGAAACAGACCAACATATAAAATCCATAAAATATTAAGCACCAGCATGTTTCCTTCAGAAGAGCACAGTTCAATGCACCACAAGCCCCTAAAAGCATCTCAGCTGTTAGTCAGTTTAAGTCCACCCTGATGTGGGCTGCGTCATTTGAGTGCTTGCAGGGAACTGGTTCCTAATATGATTCCTTCCCATCTTCCATATCAAAGACAGAGGAAGGAACAGAGAGAACAGAGACAAAGAAGGAAAAGGGGGAAAGAAAAAACAGGCAGATAGAGAGAGAGAACTGCCAAATATGTACCGTAGAATAGATGCTTGCTAAAAGTGAAGACTTGCATTCAAAATAAAATTTTTTATATCATTGTCTGTTAGTCTATATATGTCGTAAAGGATTGTAGTTTTAAAGAAATGTGTAACCTTGTGGTACTTAACTTATTTTACATTATTAAAATGTAGTTTTCAGAAATGCGTCATTTAGCTTTGCAACAACATGCATGTGAATAAAGCTAATTTGATTTGATATGATAACAGAGAGTGAGTGGGACACAGAGAGGCGAATGGAGCGAGAGAAGGAAATAAAGAGGGAGAAGAACAAAGTGGGTGGTAAAACAGAGATCAATGGTGAGTGAGGAAGGAAGGGGATAAGAGTGAGGGAGGAGAGTAGAGTGAAAGAGAGAGGGGGAGAGGGAGAAAAGAGGAGAAACAAATAAGGGAAAAACAGAGGAAGAGGTGAGGGAGACAGAGATAGGGGCAAAGAGATAGGATTGGCAGATTAGAGAGGAGAGGAGAGGGGAATGGGAAAAAAAGAAAGGAAAAGGGGGGAAAACAGGGAGAGGACAAAGGGAAAGGTAGTAAGTAAAGTGACTAAAGAGGAGGAAGAGTAAGTGATGTTTGGGAGAAAGAAAGGGAAGTTAGCAAAAAGCAAAGGGTGAAAACATGGAGAAAGAGACAGGTAGAGAGAGGACAGAGGAAATGAGTGTGAAGGTGAGAGGAGGCAGTGAGATATAATCTGTTAGCTGACGATAAGTCAAGTGTTATAATCAGAAACTCACGGGGGATTTGCAGCTTCGACCAAATCCATTAAGCCATTAAACCGTAGAATTTAATTTGATTTGTAATTTTGCTCTGCTGATGTCAAAACTCCCAGCAGGCTCACTGTTTTTTACTGATGGATTATGGGTTGTGCCTCGAAGGCAAAAAGATTTTTATTAAAACTGCTCTAAAGTGATGTATTGAATATACAGTATATGTAGATGTATATACATATACAGACTATGTTTAAATTAGCAATTTCTTAAAATCCTTGTGCATGTACATTTAACCAATGACATAAATTAATATCTTAGGGAAAAAGTGAAAAATGGGTCCTTTTAATGATTATTTATGACAGAAAAGTGTCAAAAACAGCCAATTAAAAGGGCTTCTGTTCATCAGACAGTGACTTTATTCCCAAAATGTTAAATATAGACTTGTGAAGTGAAAGAAGTATTTACCCCCACTGAAAATTCCCATTTTAAGGTTTTTGTTTAATGTTATTCCCAAATATTCCTCAACATGACGCTCATGGTCATCAGTTTTAATTATTTCATTTTAATATCAAGTCACGTTTGTTTTCTCAGTTTGGTAAGGTGTCTGACTATGAATACTACAATACCCATGAGCCTCAGGTGGCATTGCTATGGAGAACAAGCTAATTAGAGCTGAAGTGAATTCAGAAAGATTCGTTGTTGCGGTTGTGAAAATGATCACGTCGCTGTAGTTATGGCGGTCGCCGCCGCAGGTGCAACAGAATTTTAAATGGACGTTTGTTGGTGAAACGCACCTTGGAAGTTAGTAATTTATTCAGCTGGAAATCCAGTTTCATGTCCTTTCTAGACATTCACCAACTCAGTTGTCTTGCATGGTCCATACAAGAAAATAAACAAGACTTAAAATTTCACAAAATTCAGTGAATGGTGGGTTCAGTGCTTTACACTAAAAAATGAGCTCCTGGCTTGCAGAGAGCATGAACAGAAGAGCAGCTATAACCCACTGTGCAGATAATAATTTCATTCATCTGTCTATTAGTTTTGATTTAATATCTGCATGTTGCACTTTACTAAATTCTTTAATCATTTGCATAAGTAGCTTTAATCACTTTCAGTTTCACCTTGTTAGTGGTTACCTTCTGCAAGATATTATTCTATTTTACTGTTCACTTTACCTGCACTATGTCACTGAATAACTCAGAGTGTCGAAACAGTACAGTGCTTTTATTTTAGCTGGTAAAACAACTGGTTACACAACCAGACGTTTTGGGACTCAACCAACAGCAGAGACTTTCCTGTGAACAGAGCTGATTAACAAAAGGAAGAGGCTGCTGCAAAGATCACTCCACCCTCAGCAAACACTGCGTGTGTTTAGCTACCGCACACAAGCAAAGTCATGGAGTCTACGCACTTCCCAGTCTTCAAACACGACAAGAAACCAAGTCACATAAACATATTAAATCCCCCCCTCTCCCTCCGTCTCTCACCAGCCTGCAGCCCGGAGCAAAAGGTGGAGGAGAAGTTTTGCAGTGACAGGTCCACCTCCGTGGCGGTGGCCAATCCCAGTAGACGGGGAAGCAGTGCTGCAAGTGACTGGACGAACATTCTGGCGCTCTGCTGGTCGGCCTCCTGGTTGCGGAGCAGTTTGAGGGACAGGGCGGCGGTGCGCAGGGAGCGCTGGCCCGGGCAGTCGCGAGGGGTCTGCTGCTCCTCGTCAGCCAGCGAGACGTTGTCAGAGCCGATGTCAGACACATCGGAGCGCCCCGAGTCCTTCTCAGCAGCCATGGAATACTGGTCACACGAGTCAAACTCTGTCCGCGACAAGTCCTGCTCTTCCATGCTGTTGGACCAACAGGTAGATCAGTCTTATCATTTCTATGTTGTATGATTTTAAAGGCATACGGTCAGAAATTAGAATGATTTCCTACTTTCCAGATTTGAACTTGCTTGAGAAAGGCAACATCATTTATTTATAGCAAGTTTCTCCCATTACTCTGTCCAAACCCACAATACGAGTTGAATCCTGTCTGTCTTTCTACTTTTGGCTCATATTACCCCATCTCTGCCATTTTAACAAATTTGTATCTTCGTAAAAAACACATGCGTAAGATTTTCTCAAACCTATCTGTAATTGTTCAGACACAAGAATCAGGACTCCTTCAACATAAAAAGTAATTTAAATTCAGTCTTTGCTGCCCACACACACCTGAAGTTGCTCTCGCTGTATCGTGACCCCCCTCCGTGGTGTGACCTGGCCCTGGACTCCACAGACAGGAAGTTAGTGATGTCGGGGTAGACGAGGGCGTGACTTCTCTGCACCACATCTGGAGGAACCGCCCCTCCCCTTTCTCCCCCTCCTACTCCTCCACCACCACCACCACCACCACCTCCGGCTTTTACTTTCTCTCCTCTCGCCTCGACCTCCACTGCACCTCCTCCCTCCTCCTGTTGGCTCCCCTGATCCGGCTCGAGACTCAGTTCCCGTTTGGTCCCCTCCTGGCCGCCACAGGATGAGGGCGAGGGGAGGCGTGTGTCCTCCCCACACTCCTCGGGAGCGGTGCAACCCAGTCCGAGCTCCCCTACCTCCAGATCCAGGGTGGTTTGGCCTGTTTCAGTGGTGATGCTGATGCTAATGTCAGGGCTGGGCTCGGTGGCCCCGGTGGTGGCCATGTTGGAGGAAGAGGAGCTGGGGTCCAAGGGAACCTGCTCAGAGGACAGGATGTGTCTCTGCCATCTGAAGTCGGCCTCGTTGATCTCCATGGACTCGCGTGTCGACTCTGTCCCATCTTTCAGATCATCCAGACGTCTGAGGAGAAGCCGAGCCTGAGAAAAAGCCGCTGTGTTACGGTTTTAAACTTCAAACCACTTGAGACTTATCACATCTCTGGCTCCCTGAGAAGCTTTTAGTGTGTCAAGGACACAGATTATGAACATGTTTCATCTGTCTGTGGCAAGTCCTAAAACTTGATTTATTTATTTTAGGGTGCAATACTGAATAACTGGAGCACCCCTACTAATGTCTCAGTAATGTACCTGTTCAGTTTGGATGCCGCGGCCATGCGAAAGTTCATCCAGGGCTCCGAGGAGAGCGCAGGCACAGGAGACCGAAGAGTAACACGCCTCGATGCCTCCTTTCATACAGGCCTCTGTCATCCCGTCCATCACTCTTCCGAAGGAAGCAGAAAAACACTGAGTTAACTGCTTTGCTTGCATTCAGTAAAAATTTGTGAGATTTTGGTTAATTATTGAATTACTTTGTGAAACATTGGGATCATGATATGTGCTTTTTAATGTCAGATTATAAGTAACAAACTAATTATGAGGTTCCACAGTATACAGCACACTATATTCTTATTTAAGGAAGAAAAATGACAAGACAATGATAGATATCAAACTCAGGACCACTGTAACATAGTGAACTAAATGTATTATTTGTGCATTTTTAAAGACGTGAAAAGAAACCCTGTGTACCTTTAAAAGCACGTGCTTTATGCAAACGCAAATTATGATAAGATGCATTTCAGAAAACTCAACTGCACACAGCAAATTCTTCAAAAAGAGAGAGGAGTTACTAACAGTTTTAGCAGGTCCAGGTGGGACTTCCTCTTTGAGAAGGAGCGCTTCCTGGTTTCAGGCTCAGCCACGCACGGACCAGCCAAGTCATACAGTCGCTGGGGACTGCCCAGAATCTAACACACACACACACACACAGAAATAGATTACTACATTGATTCCACATTAATTTGATGACCCATTTCCATAAATGCATGTAGCCGTCATGTAATGTCAAATGACGCACACTGTTATCACCTGGAGGGATCCGTTCTATTTGTGTATGTACACATAACAAGAATGCTGAGTAAAGATCAGCTATGATGAATTACTAACTTATACTTAGTAAACTGGAAAGGAAATCAATAGCTGCCTGAAGGTAGGCAATCAGTCTGAAAAGTTATAATCTGCTTTAGAAAAAGGTCAGCAAGAAAAAGTCTCCTCCTCCCACCTCCTTCATGATGCGGATGGCCTCGGTGCGGTGCTGAGGAGGCGGGTAAAGCAGGATTCTGTGGTAGAGCGACTGCAGCACCGGTTTCATCGACTCCACGCAGCTCACCAGACGCACAAGCTCTGCGGCGATGTAACACACAGTCCGCACTACCGGTGCGATCCTGGCGGGGGCGTTGGAGGAACAGCCGGACCCTCTGCCTTGATCAGAGACCCCTCCACCGCAGGGGTCCACATCCTGGTTTATCCCTGGAGAAAATGAGGGGACATGAAGCTGAACCATTAAAATCATCTCCTCAAACTTATAACCAGTAAGAAGTCAACAGGCCTGAGTCGGAATGTAAAATCAACTCCACCTACGATTATCTGTAATGTCTAATAAAAAGGTTTCCAACTAAAGGAGATTTCCACTATTTTGAAGAGAGACCATTAAACTGACTGCTGGCAGGAAGGTTAATAATTAAATGTGGCTTAGTCTGAATTGGTCACACTGTGAACCTGTTTAATTATTGAATCTCTAATTAGATAAATGAGCTTGTTCCAAAGCAATTACAACAATGTTGACATGAGGCTTCGTAAATGGAATTGCTTATCTCTACAATTTTTGACAAAAGAATTTAGAGCTCAGGGGGATGAACGGCTGGCTAATCAGCACAAGGAGCCGCACAATCACTGAACGTGGGATGTGTGGAACAGTTTCGCACTTTTACACTGAGATAAGTACTTAAAATGTTGCAACCCCAGTTTCTGCAACAACCAAATAAAACCACATTTCTGTCAGTTAGCTTTGTTACTGATTTTAGTAGCTGTCAAAAGTTGTTTCTTTCTTGATGTCTGCTGTATGGACTCCTCATTTTCATGACAACTGACTCAAACTATGTAAATGCAACAATTTTGAAAATCCAGTTACCTAGACTGAGTCTGTCTGAGAACCGGTCTCGGTCTGGCGCCATGTAGCCGTGATGGGAAGCGATGGTTTTGTCATTGATAGGATTTCCCATTATAGCCACGAGGGATGGACACAGCTGCTTCCTGTACATTAGAATATAGTAAATTACAATAAACTGAGATAAGGGGTTCTAAAAAGAAAGAAAATTAGATAAAAAAGCAAGCATAACATGAAACTGACCATTATCTAAGATGTCTGAAATCATCATTAACTGGCTCCAAAAATGACAGGTAAACACCATTTTCTATTCCTCTTTCAACTTTTCTCAATTTGAGAATCTCAGATTTTCTTATTTCTTAACCTGAATTTTTTTTTATTTGGGATTAAGTGCCAAATCACAGCTTTATTTTGGTGGCAACATGTGTAGAATGTTTATCCTAGTCTTACCATACAAGGTCGGTGAAACCCCTGGACAGGTGCATTGTGGGAGGACAGCTGCTGAGCATAGAGAGGATGCACTCCAGGTAGAGAAGCTGCAGGAGCTGATTGCCGCTGGAACATGAAAAGACACAACAACATTTTTGCAATCCAGATGTCTGAAGTCAGACAGCCTCTGGTAATATCCAGTGTCTGTAAAAATAAATAATAATAAATTGGGTCTCATGAGGAGTCTTTGCCAATCATGTTTCAGTAGGTGAAATCGGTGAAGGAAGCAGGTGAAACAACTGTTCTCAACCCCTTCACACCGTTGGCTGTTTTCACTTGGTTTTCACACCCATTATTGACAAGCTTATGGCTGCATAACAGATTCTGCTAATGTGGAACTTTTAGGGGTTTAACACACAGCTGCATGCCAAGTTGGACCTGACTGCGGTGTCAAAATGAGCACAGCTTTACAGCAGCAAAATTAAGACTTAATTAAATGTATGACTACATTTTAGATGAAGTTCACCCAAAACTAAGTGTTGTGATAAAGATAAGAGATGGTCAAAGGAGATCGTTCATTAATAAAGTCAGCTTGTTCTAGTACATCTGCTACCCAAGTGTGTCTGTTCACACACCTGTTTACCATTAAAATATCTATTTTTTAGCAATGTTTGTTGTTTGTACATGGCCAATTATAATCAGTTTTCTGTGTGGTATGAGATTCCATGGAGATCTGTGATGCTACAGCAAAGCCTGATGATTCAGACAAGCCTCAAGCAGAATTATCACCTACACATTACAACAACAACAACAACAACAACAAAAGAAAGAACATTGCATCAAGTAATGAAAAACTGCAGCGATACCTGTCTACCGACTCCAGTTTTTCACAGAAAACTGTCAGAACCATCACCACATCTTCACACAGAGCCTGGCTGGTAGGAGAAATATCTGCAAACACACACACACACACACATCATAACAAGGTTAATACACAGAAGCTCTTTATTCAATATGTACATGAAGTGATGAAAAACTAATTACTTTCTCCCGTCTCTTACTTTTCTCTCTCTCACCTCATAATTTCTCTGTAATAAATTAAATAAATCAATACCTTCCCTGTGAACCTGTTTGGCTCTCCATCTAAACTGTTCGTGTGTGTGTGTGTGAGACTGTACAGTCTCATAAAGAAGCCCTGCCAGTCTCTCTGTGAATGTGTTTCTTACTACCTGCAGAAAGGTGATTACAATGGCTTTATAAACCGCTATAAAGCAGTTTGAACTGCACACTAAGGAAGATTGAAGGTCCACAGCCACTAGCGGCTCCACAAAGCTTTATTGTTGACTTCAGAAAACAACAATACACACACACACACACACACACACACACACACACACACACAGTGGATAGAAGAAAACTGCTGAGACTTTGCTGACCTCAGATTCTTTAGAAGTTTGTCTGTAGAAGGTGCCACCAGAGTAAAGACCATGTTGTTATCTATGTCAAAGATGTTTATCCTCCGTTATGGTGGTCATTTTAGAAACATCCCCGCAACTTGTCAGGCTCATCTCCACATTGTCAGACTTGCCTCAGTTTCCACCAGTCTAAGCCGTACTCTGCGTGCCTCAGCTGAACACAGGCTTAATGAAAATGTGCAGACTTTACCCAGCTTGCTTCCTCAGAGTATGCCTGTTATGTGTGTTTAGGGCTGTCCAAATCTACAATTTACCCTCACAAGGGCCTTCCACAAAGTCTGCTTTTATGATGCTTATGTTCAGTTTTTGTCATATAGGTGGAAATTCAATTCTCTGTCTGAACATAAAGTGTTTCTAATATTGTGCCCCCCTCACGTACAGCACTTAAATAGGAAAGACAAGAAAATACGCTGAACAAAATTAAAAATGCAACACTTTTCTTTTTACCCCCATTCATCATGAGCTGAACTCAAAGATCTAAGACTTTCTCTATGTACACAAAAGGCCTATTTCTCTCAAATATTGTTCACAAATCTGTCAAAATCTGTGTTAGTGAGCACTTCTCCTTTGCCGAGATAATCCATCCACCTCACAGGTGTGGCATATCAAGATGCTGATCAGACAGCAGAAATAGGCCTTTTGTGTACATAGAGAAAGTCTTAGATCTTTGAGTTCAGCTCATGATGAATGGGGGCAAAAACAAAAATGTTGCGTTTTTAATTTTGTTCAGTGTAGTTTATCCCTCTACCAGGACTCGTTAATTTTATCCAAAGCTACAAGAAACCTTTCCTCAACCATCTGGCTCTAAAACATACCGTCTATGCAACAGTGCTGAATCCATCAAATACTACATGACTGTTTTCAGGAGAGGAGAACTGATGAGGCTTATATTTATTTACTCACCACTAACACAGATTTTGACAGATGCGTTTATAATTTTGTTCAGTGTAGAAACACTTCTCAGTACAAGATCACCTTTAACTTTAACATCCATAATAAACATACAATTGAATTTACACAATTCTGAACTGAACATTTTCGTTGTTGTAATAAATAGATTGTACAGGTGTTCATAATTGGCCACTGAATGTATATTAGAGGTATTATAGGATCATATGCATGATTATTTAATTGAGGTACAGCCTTAGAGCTGATCAGGAGAGTAATGACATACCTCTTCTGTGCAGTGGCAGTGCAGTCACCTCGTCTCCATCTGCACCCTGTAGAGAAGCACACAGCAGGAAGTATGTTTACTACAAGTGTGTCTTTTTTGGGGATTTTGTGTTAACACAGCTGTGATGGTGTATGTGACCGAATGATATTACTCTGATAAAAAGCCGTCTCGGTCAATAAAGAATACATTTATTGTGTGTTTCTGATTGCCTTAAATATGTGTAATATGTGTATACATGTGTGTTTGTATATATATTAGAGGTACATTTAATAAATAAATAAATATATTTCAATACAAATATGATGAAAATATTGCCATAACTTTGAAGCATTTTGAAATATGCCCGAGACAATTTTACAGAGTCCGAAGTGACAATATACAATGATATAAAATAGACAAGCAACAAATCCTCCCATTTAAGGAGGTGGAAAAGAGAATATTTGGCATTTTGGCTTCAAAAATTCTAATTAAATGAAATATGATATGATATTAAAATATCTGATCTTCTAACCAATTAATAAACATGAACAGGTCATTTTGTTTCTCCAACATCAGAGTAAAGCATTTGATATAGTGTAATAGTATTATATTTAAAATTCTGTTGCGATTCCCTCCAGTAGTTTACAAGTGTGCACACATCTGTACACGTGTGCGTGTTTTGTTGAGGGCTTGACCTCTTGTCTGTGTCGTAGCTGTAGCGTCAGGTCTCCCAGTATCTGGCTCAGCGTGGCTCTGACCGCCGTGTTGATGCTGCGCTGGTGACAGCTGGACACATAGGTCTCGATACACACCTGAACACACACACACACAATTACATCTGTCAGCGTGTGATCTTTCTTATGCCTGAGTCACAAAAACTGAAAAGTCATGACGCACAGTCTCAAGACAGCATCACAGCCAGACACTGAGATATCAGGAGGGGGGGGACATATTGTTTGTGTCTCAAACATCTTTCGGCCAAATTAGAAGTTCATAGAGTAAACATTGTGGATCAAAGGAAAGTCAGCAGCTGAGAAACACACACACACATGCACATAAACTGATAATTAGAAGCAGCAGTTGCGCGCCAAAGTAAAAATTTAGAGTAAAAGACTGAGCGCTGAAGACTTATTTTGGTAGCTAAATAGAAGCTGTGGCAGGTAATATAGTAGCCTTTAGCTCACATGAATGAGTGAGCTTGTGAGTTACACACAAATCCCACGAGGGGGTAGCACCGAAAACGCTGCACAGTACAACTTTTCAGCTTTGCATTATGTTTGCCTGTTAATTGGTTATTTTTCAAATCTAATGTATCAATAGTTTCCCATCGGATTTAGTTGGCAGACACGCCTTGCACCAAAAGACAAATGAAAGAGTTTCCTTTGTAGCCTAAAACCAAAGAACTAACAGACATAAAGACATCTTTTTACAACTCAAGGCATGTTTGAAGAGACATCATCAATGCACGATCACTTTTGAGATTTTGGAATAATTTGCTTCCATAACGGGTCTTTCAGACTAGTTGAAGAAGATGCTCAAAGTATCACATTTAGGTTTATTGCACTACGTTTGTCGATTTGTGTGGATTTCTCCTAAATCAACAAAAGTTAGCATTAGATACTGCCTCATTTGCGTATTTAAACATCACATTTCAGAAAACTTGTAAACAGAAATTAAGTGTTTTAATTTAAGTAATCAACTGGGGAGGTTTGATGTTGATATCTGTTATTAGTATTTTATCCAATTCACCTTTTTTTTAAACCTATGCCTGTAAAAAAAAGATTTCTAAATCCCCTCTGTAAAAACATTTGAGTCTAATATGTCAACAAAATAAAACACTAATTCTGAACCTGACTTAATCCTGTGTTCAGATTTCGGTTCTTCAAATATATGCAAATTACAGCATATTTAATTAGAACCTGCCTCATTTGCATATTTAAACATAACATTTCAGAAAACCTGTAATACAAAAACTTTCATGGTGATTTCTATTAGATTTTTTACCCTTTTCACCTGCAGTGTCTCGCCTGAAACTCAATTTTAGGTGACAGGAATGATCTCCGTGCAAATTTGGTTTCATGTCATGGATACGGCATTAAAGGTAAATTATCAAACTCCAGCTCCCTGCTGTTGAAACTGAATAAACCCCTCAGCACTGCCAATCCCTGCATTAAGAACATGTACTGAGCCTCACTGTTTATATGAGATATTACTGATAATGGAGTGGTGTTGACAACCTCTCCAGCCACCCTGAGTTATGACCCAACACAAACACAAACACACGCACCAGATGGCCGGCCCTGGTGGAGCTGAGCACATTAACACAACATGTTGACCAGGTTTTTATGAGCTGTTAATGGATGTCAAATATCACCTGGGTACAGGAGCTGCTGCTGCTGCTGCTGCTGCTGAGGGAAGCGATGTTACAGGAAAAGACTGTGATAATTTGGTTGTTTGGTTGGAGTTTGGGCCATGGGTTTACGTTTGGAGATAACAGTGGCTGGGTGTCGGTCAGGTGGCAGGTCTGCACATTAATGACTAAGATGACATTTTCAGTTCATTATATTTCTGCACCTACAGGAGCCAGAGTCCCTGTGTGGTTTCATTCGTTGATTGTTGTATAAAGCTTTCTGTAATGTGTCCCGCTCAGGGGAATTATGAATAATGAAAAATCTATCCCACCCCACGCAGTCTTGAAAGGTGGCTGTGAAAAGTTTGTTACTTGCCCCTTTGCATCGTCAGCTGTGGTCAGATTGAATTCTAATGTGATCCAGTTTAATGGCATTAAAAAAAGCTTTAAAATGCAAGTGGAAAATTTTGAAACCACTCCTCCATTGTGAATCCAAGCTGACGTCAGCTGCCATCCTTCACGAAAGGAGCAAATTACAAAGTTACATAGCCACCTTACAAGACTTAAAACCTGCAGTATTCTTTTAAGGCCGTACAGAGCCTCAGAAAATCTCAGGAAATCCAGAGAGCGCCTCAATAAAAGATATCCAGAGGATTTCCACCTAAGGATCAACTCACTGTCAAGGTCGACACATGAAGCTGGCATTTTGGCAGAAGCTGTGGTTCCAATTGTTCCTCCTGTCTAGTCTTAGGTTGCTTGTTTTTATTTATCAGTGTATTCACTACATCAGTGGTTTTCTGGTTAATCCACATTTCATTGGCACCAGTGAATGCTGGCACAGTTTGCGCACCCAAAACAAGTTTCTTCAACCAGGCTAGTTTTATGGCAAATATCTCTCTTCATCTCAAAAGTCTCTCGCGTTGCAAAATCAGCTGTGTGTTTGTGTGTGTGCAGGATCACTCATCTCTTTTTGAACTTTATGAATAACTGATGACATTACAGCATGAGAGAAGGCCTCCAGGTGAGAAGAGATGGAACAAGGCTTCACTTCTAAAAACAGACTGAGCTCATGTACTGCTTGCTAAGATAACAGTTCACTCTATTAAAAAAGTATCAATGCTATTTGTCATTAGTTCAGTCCAATCAATACTGTGACCACTTTGTCAGGTCAGGTCAAAGTTACGAAATCCATAAAGAAACAGCAAACAATAAAGCACAGTAAATTAAAGAGGATATAAAATGGTTATTTCCAACATTGATTTACCTTTCAGACTTCATTCCATTCTCGTTTTGCCTAATATATCTACCATAATCATTCTAGTCTAATACCAAGTACATAAAGTTAATACATCGGGGGGTTACAAGCAAACAGTCACATCTATGACGTAAACCAACAGAAACCTAAATCCTTTGGCTTATCTGAGATGCATTTTCAAATACAGCTTTCTACAACATCCCCAAAGTCAGCTGAACAGGGGAAATATCAATTTCTGCATGATTCTGATCAGTACTGCTGAAACAAAAAACAGTTCCTGTTTGTTGCTAGATGTAAAATCTCAAATATCTGATGTGTATCAAACAGACTCTGGCTGTCCTACCTCAGCAATCCGGAGAATGGAGTCTCCATTAATATCAAAGTTTGGTGAGTAGGTGATACACAGCAGGACCTGCACATAGAAGACAGAAGCAGTTTACTTTAGTATACTTTCTAAAAGAGAATAAACTCTGTAATCATTCTTTATATATAGGGGAGACTAATTTAACAGTTTAGGGAAACAGACTTCAACCATGAGCACTGTGACAAAGTTAGTCCAATTTAAGTTGAACATAAATTGGCGAGATCTGTCAGCTGGAAAAGACACCAACATGAGGTGACCACAGCTCTACAGAGGCCACATCACAGAAAACCATCAAAGAAAAAGAAAAAGCTGCAATGCTGGCAAACTCTTCATGCAGAGCTGTTAAGCTGCCAGGTATTTTTACATCACTGTACTCTTTTTAACACAGGGCTACTGCAGACTGAGAGTGCACTGTGAAGTATAGTAAACATGTAAAATGCAGTTCGGAGTCTACTGGTAATATTGGGTAAATATTTAGGAATTTATATCAGCATGTCTTACCTTCATGACTTCCACCTGCAGGTCTTCATGGAGAGATGGGGTGACTCTGATGGCCTCCAACATCTGGCTGAGCAGCTGCTTCTCCAGAGCCTCCACCTCTACCTCCACACCGACCCCGCCCACAAACCTGTCCTCACACAGGAGCTTCTGAAGAAAGTCAGAGGGAAGAAAGTTTCAGAGAGCAGACCACCACTGCTGCTGTATGCAAAAACATCATGCGATCAAACGACTTCCGCATGACGGCTAAATAAATCTATATTTTTAGTACAAAAATTTGTCACGGACCCTCTTTTTCAGGGTTTGCAACTAGCAGTAAAGTGACTCAATAATGTCAGTTAAACTGCATTATTTATCTAAGGTTTGCTTGTCTGGTCATTCTAGACTACAAGTAAATGCACCCTTGTTCCACTAGAGTTGAACAAGCATTTTATTGCTTGTGAATTATGTATGTATGAATAACTTTTCATTTCTAAAAAGGAAGATTTGTGTTTTTTCTTCTTTTATTTTACGCTGATGTTGCAAATGACAGATCTATGTACAGTAAATAGGAATAAAAGGAAGAACAAGGATAAAATAAAACAGAGAAATAATCTGCTATATATTGCAGTACCTGCATTCCAGTAAGCGCCGTCTGTCCTAGTTTGGTGTTTTTTGACTCCAGAGCCATCTGTAGCGGCAGCAGACAACACGCTCTGGATGCACACAAACCAAAACACAAACAATATTAAACTCTATAACTCTATCTCTATAACTCTATATCTTATAATTTGAGATCAGATTTGAAAAAATTACATTGAAGACACAAGTGTAACTTAGGGCTGGACGATATTTTTATCACAATAAAAAGTTTCATATCTTTCGATATCGATAATTATCACAATAAGTATTAAATCGTTATTTATTTCGAGTTTAAAGGCTGATTTTTGCCCCTGAGTGAAAGTTGAAGAAACCTGATGGTTAATTGTGGTTTAAACTGTTCATTATGGCAACACTTGTGTCCACTTCACAAATCTGAAGTAAAACTTTATGATCAAATCTTTGTCAACAAATATGCACGAGTAAAAATAATTAATAGCTTTTTTTCAGTCCTTTTTACTGAACAAAATAAAAGAGACTGGGTTGTTCCACGACTTCGATATTTAATATGAAGTGAGATTATATCTCAGATCCTCCTCACTCTCTCCTGCTCTTAACGATACTGTACGTTCAAGTTCAGAACATCAAATCACAACTGAGAGGTAAACGATTAACGTGAGCTTCTGACCGCAACCACAGAGACACACAGAGCTTGTTTGTTTGTATCGGTCTCTCTTGACCACGTCTCTCAGCTGAAAGGGTCACCATGCTCCACTGGTGCTAGAAGCTACTTTAGCACATGCTCAAGTACAAACCTGCTGGAAAACAAATCTGACCTAAATGAAAGAGAGACCTACTGGGTTTTGTCAGTTTGGTGCATGTCGGGTTTTTTTTATAAGCAGAAAAAGATTTCTAGTTTTAATGAAACATACAATCAACAATAAAAAGACGTTAGGCCATGTAGAGAGATGTTTAAAGGTTATAGTCAGACTGGGTGAAGCTGCTGCTGCCTCCATTCACACAGATGCAGATATCTGCTGACTGTGATGGGACTCAAGATGCGGTCAGGCAGGCAGTGTCGTCGGGTTGTTAGTGTCTAGCAAGGACTGGGAATCTGTGATAACATGCAACGTCACTTTCATACATTTCAAAGTGGGATTCTGCAGAGACATCAAAGCAATGAGCGTACTGAGTTAATCCAATGCCAAAAAAAGATAAACGAGGACCTTTGAAAGGTATCTGTTGCCTTTAATATTGCTTGTTTAGTTGATGTTTTTGTCTTGTTTGTTCTTTAAAATGTGTTTTTCATTCTAGATGGTCTATATACAAACTAGCATGTATGCCAGCTCTGACCCATTGCTATTGTGGATTCACCCCTCATTATTTGTAGTTGGTTGAGTCACCATGCTCTGCTGCTGATAGCAGGCCACTGGGCTTCATCTCTGAGCGCTCAGGCTGCCCTGAGCTGTCACAACTGCATTCGTTCAAATGGGCTGCAAGGAGCCACAGTTGTCATGGCAGCCAGTAGTTCCCAGCAGTTTCAATGAGTTCAAACACTATTTATGAGCAAGTAGAGTGCAACAATTAAAATAAAATAGTCAGGACGAGAATCTCAACTCAACTTTAAAAAGGCCCATCACGCCATAACCAGTGGCTCAGAAATGTTTATAAAACCACCAGATTCAATATTTCTATAACATAAAGAATATAAACTTTTAAAATTCCTTTTCAAGGTAAATATGAATCAATGAAAACTATCAGAGAACCATTGTATATCCTGTTTGGTTCTGTCAGTCAGTTTGTCAGAGTAAGTGTCCTCTTTGTTCGAGTGGCTGAGAGTCCATTTTGTAATAAGAGACTTCAAATCAGAAACAGAGGAGCACACTGGCTGAGAACCATCGCACTACATTACGGAGACATTATCATCAATATTTAATCTAATAATCTCTAATACAACAATAGAGGTTATTGAATGAATAATTCATGGTGTGTTGAGCTGCAACGGCATCCAGAATTTATAGCACCTTCGTCACAATGCAACTGCCACCAGGAGCAGCTCTCCATTCACTTTACATTTTACAGTTGATACATTCAAAAACTCTCTGACATTATAAAAAAAAAACATTGCATCAATGCCCAAACACAGAATATTTCCATGACAACACATGCAAAAACAATTCTGCAGTCTTCTTACAATGCAAAACAATAATACAAGAGTTTGACAAAAGGAAATACTGGACTCAAACTGGATATTTGAACCCAACCATATATATTGGATATTCAGTATTTTGGCTACTGTGAACAGCTGTCTGTCCAGTTTGATTTTCTCCGCATGATTTGATAGACATGATTAGTATAAAGGGGGTGACCTTAACAACAGGAACACCTGTATAATCTAATAATATCCAAAACAGCAGGCCTGTGACAAACCTTACCTTCAGATCTTACTAGCTGGTAAAGTTCTCTTTTTGTGTACACACACAGTTTCACTTTCAGGTCTACTTCTGGTCTACCAACCAGAAGTGATACTGACCTTATTAAGCTGATCGGGTATCGGTCAGATATGACGGATCCACAGTTCCAAACTTCTTTATCAATGTCATTATAAAATTAAATATTTCCACTATCAGTTACATTCATTAAGTTACCGTACATAAATTATGGGGCTGCTGTGGCTCAGGAGGTAGAGCGGGTTGGCCGTTCAATCCCTGGCTCCCCCTAGTTGCGTGTCGAAGTGTCCTTGGGCAAGATACTGAACCCCGAATTGCCCCTGGCGGCTGTTCCGCCAGTGTATGAATGAGTGTGAAGTTAGTTTCCGTTTGAGCACTTAGGCTCAGTGTATGAATGTGTATGACTGGTGAATGCAGATGTAGTGTAAAAGCGCTTTGAGTGGTCGAAAAAGACTAGAAAGGCGCTATACAAGTACGGAGCATTTACATTTTTTTACATTTACATAAATATTCTATGCAGAATACAGATACAGCCTCTGGCACTGGATTGGTATTTGGCATCGGAAGATACGCTGAGATAAGGTACTGGGATTGGTGTCAGGACAGAAAAAGAAAAAGTCAGGTCAGTAAATCCCTAGTTTGAGGCACAATTTGGAAAAAAAAATTAATTATATCCAGGAATGTATGTTTTTTTTTATTACAGGATGAGTTAAAAAAATATTTTTTTAATCCAACCAACAACATGTAGGTGAAAATTAAATTATCATCAGTGTAAACACTGTAATTTATCTGCCGGTTGTGTGTTTTATTTACTTTGAGGAACTCTCACACGTGCTTCTTTTATTTTATTTTCTATCATGTTGATGTTATTGTATCCACCTGCTGTAGTCTAAATTCCTATATTCTATGGTAATTATACTGTAGTGGTGTTGGAACTGTGTTTAAACAGAGCGATGTGAAACACTGCCTCAATATTTGCATTATCATCCCAGGAATTATTTGACCAGTCAAATGAATTCAAATTATACACACGGTGGAAAATAACGGTGTGTAAGCCACAGGGCTCGGAAAAGAACAGTTTGAATTTCAATATTCAGTTATCTATTCCCTGCAGTAAAAGCACAGGCTGTACAGTACGTGTAGCTGTAGGGCAAAGCTAACTTGTCTTACAACTTAATTCAAGGTGGTCTAACAAAACTTCTGGTGCACAATGATCAACTGCTCTTGGAAACACATAACATTGTTTTGGATTATTATACAAAGAACATTTCCAGTCTGTTTAATGTTTTTTGTTCAGGTTCTGTTAGGTTTGTTGTTTTTCTCTTACTGCGACTCTAACAGGTTTTGACTTCATGCCTTCAGAGCTTTGAGTTGAAGTGAACTGAAATGAATTGAACTGAGATGCCATTTAACTTACCGAAGTTGTGAAGGAGAAATCTTGGCTGGTCCATTCTGAGACTCAAGGGTTTCTGTAATTTAATGGAACAAAGAAAAGGAAAGACTGTCATTAATATCTTCTGACAGATATGCTATATGACATTTACCCAAACCAATATAATGTAAATTCTCAGCTGTTAAGTATTCGGTTTGTTGAGCTCAGGAAGAGCAGATGAAAAAAAAAAAGAGTGATTTTCTTTACCCAAAAGCAAATCTGGTTCCCAAGACTAATGCTAATGTCAACAGTATTTGACAATATTAGCTAGCTAGTTAGCACATTAGCTCAGACACAATAGCTATGAATTGTGCTGCATGTCAAATTTATGTTGAATAATTTAGCACATAGGCGTCTACAGAGATGAAGGATAATTATGTCACAGACATAACAGAAATACTCACTTGAGCACCAAAAGTGTATTAATTCACTACTGAAAATACAAATGCACTTCCTCCCGTTTGAGTAAGATTTGTTAAAAACTACAGAGGCCAACTGTTTCAGGAAACTATTAAGGCTTTTTATTTAATGGAAACTATATATTTGTGAGTTATTTATGAAGATTTAGGCCTATGTCTTCAATAAGAACTACTGCAATAAGAAAAATGCTGAGTACCTGCTGCAAACAGCAGCTTTTAAAGTAGACAGATAGCTCAGAAACCTTGAGAAATTTCACCTTGGCTTCATATTTTCAACTAGCACGGGACATTCTACTGCATTTTTCATAGCAGAAACTTGACAAATGACACTTGCTGACATCTCTAAACCCAGCATAAATCTCCTGTTACTCTGCAGAGGCTGTCATGTTGTGCACGTGTTTCAAGGTTTAATGTATGTGTTTATGGCATTCACATGGGACATTTGGCATCCTTCACTTTCAGAGACAACTATAAGATGCAGATTGATTGATGTTATGGGCGTGTCTACAAATATTTCAAGGCAGTCTGTGAAATATTTTATTGGCTGATGAAGTCCTTTCCTTTCGTAGAACATAAATACACTCAACGCACTCAACTGCACTGTGTATCTATATCAGACAGAGGGAAGACATAACTGAAATATAGCCTAGCGCATGGGATATTGTCTGTTTTTAATACGTCACAATTAAGAGTTCAGTTCTGTGTGTGTGTGTGTGTGTGTGTGTGTGTGTTTGCACGCTGTTCCTTCATCAGCACAATCTGAACCCATCCACCCATTCACCTGCCACCAAAAGGTCAGGCTGGCCTATAATGGCTATTAATACTAACAATATCACCACTGACGTCAGTGGAAACTGCTTTTTCCACATTCTTAAATGGAGTTTAATACATTTTATTTGGGAGTGTCACATGTTCTGAATGCTTTTTCAGAGGCTGCCTGGCACAGAGAGTGATGAGTATTACTACTATTGGTCTGAAAACCTCTTTTTCTTGAAAAGGTTTGTCATGGTTTCCAAGTATGCAAGTGAAGTCCCGGTACTGCGAATCACATTAATTTGAACAACGCTTTTAGTAGGGTAGGGGAGGTCTAGTCAAACTGGGCTGGCAAACACAGACTCAGGTCCTCTTTTTAATGTCATGTCTGTCTGTGACATATATTATCACAGCTTTATACATACAGCTCTAAGCTTTGTATTTAGAAGCCGTTATTATCTACTATCTCCTGCATGGAACTGCATAGATGTGGTACTCAGTAGTAGGCCTATAGTTACCCATCTTACTGTACATTATCTCATTGTTTTTATGTTCTCTATGATCATTGTTTCTGTGGTTCACTGTTGCCAGACTGAGGCACCTAAAAACAGCAGGTGCAGCTGTTATTGGATGGTGGAGCTTTCCACCAGCACATGGACATGGAAATCCTCTTCTCCCCACTTTCAGTCTTTGGGTCTGACCACCTTAAGTATATTCTCTTTCGAGAAACACAGATTTCCCTTAAGATGTCGTCATTTCTTGCAATGTATACGATCATCGTTTAAGCGGTAGGCCTATGGGTTTAGTATAGCTGCCCTCTGTTCCCTAAAATATAGCAGGTGAACACAGACGCAGATTTCCCCTATCCCTGTGGCCCCCTCCTGCAGCCGGATGCCGGGGGGCTGCTGTGCACTCACCGTAGGCGTAGACGCAGGCATCGCGGATAGCTTTGTGCTTGTGGCCGGACGCGTCTTTTTGCAGCTTGCGCATTATTTCCTCCATGCTGGCTCCAAAGAAAACACAGTTTAGTAATCTCAGAGAACAGAGACACGCCGGGGCTGGGTGGGTTTGTGTACGAGTCGGTTTGTCTGTGGTATTTTAAGGGTGCAGTGACAGTGACAGCATCCCTGGACCCCCCTGAAGAAGGCGATGATTCATTCCCAACGACCAGCCAATGATGTCAGGCCAGACCGTCAATCCTTAGGACGGTAGAAGGAGGAAGTGGTTTTTGCATAAATCCACAGCTATGGCTTCCAGGACGAACAGCGATCTGACATCTGAAAAATACTCATCATAAATTCTCACGGTGGATAAATTCAATGAACAAACCCCCTTCTCTCATCTTCGTCAGTCAGTTTAAGCCTCAGCACTACCGTCTTTTGAAAATCCGTTCCAGCTGATACTTGTGTTCATCACGGGATCCAGATCCGGTTCCTTCTATCCTTCAAATCAAGCCGCTTGCACGCCAGGAAAACACCACAGCATTCCGCTAGAAGGTGGACTTTTCTCCAACCTGGCAACACAGTATTTACACAGTTTCCCCGAGGGGGAGCTTGAAGATGTGGCAGGAGTTGGTGGAGTCACTGGAATGGGATTTCCTGTCTCAGCAGGGCGACAGGTGGAGGAAGCTCATGCAGAGCTGCCTTCAGAATAAACGGCCTGTTTACACCAAAAACTGTGGAAGACCGAGTCTGTCACAACTGAAAATAAATACGGAAATAAAAAAGGCTCAATAAATAAAAAAAAAATATCCTAACAAATGCACCAAAAATACATAAAACAAAATAAATGTAGGGACTAATTAAAGAGACATTGGCCTATCTCTTTTAATTTGTGTCTTCATTTATTCATTGTATTAATTATCCAAAGAAGGTTAAAGTCAAGGGCAACTGGACTTGGTTGAAGATACTGGAAGACGTTTCGTCCCTCATCCAAAGGACTTCTTCAGTTCTGACTGACTGGCAGGGAAACTCAGCTATTTAACCTCAGTGGGGTCGTTATCCCGGGTCATCGATACCGCTGGTTCGTTAGTGTTCCTGGCTTCCTTGACACCTCTTTCAAACCATCCATCTTCTCTGTCTAAAATGTGCACTTCTGTCTTAGTGTGTTCTTGGGTTTAAAAAACACAGGGATGTTGTGTTTGTTGAAAATCCTCCTGAGTTTCTCTGATACTCCAGACACGTATGGAATCACAATGTTGTTGCATTTGACCTTCTTCTTCTCCTCCCCTGAAGTTTTGTTCCTCCTGGATCTTGAGGTTAAATAGCTGAGTTTCCCTGCCAGTCAGTCAGAACTGATCCCTCATCCAAAGAAGTCCTTTGGATGAGGGACGAAACGTCTTCTAGTATCTTCAACCAAGTCCAGTTGCCCTTGACTTTAACTATGACCTGGATGACTGAGAATCTTCACAGACATTGTTTTAATTACCTTATTTATTTATTTTATTTTTTAATTTCCAATTAAAGTTTTTAATTAGTTCTTTTGAAATGTATTTATTTATGCATTTGTATTATTCTTCGTTTTATTTTCTACCCTATTCATTTACCCAAAGGTGTTTGTCTCCCCTTTTCTGCCTCATTATGCAAATGAGGGGGCGCTGTCTCAAGGGGTCAACCGCGCTCCAACCCAGAGCCCTTTAAAGAAAGAGTCGCGTCAGCGGGGGTCCAAAATGTCAAAAAAGTCACGTGGTTCATGGGGTACAAAGTAGTTATGCTGATGATCGAAGCTATACTTGAGACGTGTAATAAGTACTAACTCTGAAACAGTATTATTTCTTATTTTGAAGTGGCAAAATATTATTTTGAATAAATATTACATTAACAGTACCATGTCTTCTACTTGCATCAGTTTCAGAGATTGAGGAAAGAAGGAATATAGAGACTAAGGGAAGAAAGAAGGGATGCAGACACTGAGAGAAGGGAAAGAAAATAATATAATTGTTTTTAGCATGATTCCTTATAAAAGGTATATTATAATAGGCATTTACAACCATGTGATGTTTTCTATCTCACCATGGTCCACTCAGTACTCTTTAGCCTCACTGCTCCTCCCCCACGCAGAGTTTACTATGAAGAATGTTTTAGTTTACTATGAAGATTGCTTTTATAAGATGTCAGTATACGACTTTTAGTGTTCCCCAAAGCCCCCAAAAATAAATAAATATAATTTTGAAATATTTAATTCATACTCACCAGTAATATATTTAAATAAATATTAAATACAACCCCCAAAATTAAAATTAATAGGCTGCCCCTGTTTATATTGTGTTTATATTGTGTTTATATTGTGTGCTGCTAACCTTATCCATTGACAGTATCATAATTTGTTTGTTAATTTGTTAACCGTTAATGTCCCTAAATCTTCTAATTTAGTGGGGGAAATCCACTAACATGCTTTAATGCACATGTTCACTTGATTCAGTTGCGCTAATGATATATAATTTCATTTTTACACGTCTGACCTTTTAAACATGGATCCCAAATAGCATTTTCTGCAGCCCAGCTATTGAGATACTCCATGATCCACCATTGCTGTGAAAAACTGGTCCCAACTCCCAACTTGTCACATATGGAGGCATGGTCAAGACCAGTTGGTGTCAATTTGTAACACTCTGGGGATCTCCTTAGTGTCATAGGTCAACGCAGTGGGGGAAGCGCTGTAGCGTCCCTTTTGGACAGAAAAGGTGGGTATATGATATTTAACAGAAAAGACCAAGTAAGGAGGTGTTTGTGGTTGATGAGGGCCAAAAAACGGACTTTCAATGAGGAGACCGGTGTTCATTTCCCATATGAAACAAAAAAGGCAACATTAAATGTAAAGTTACGTAAATTGTGAAAGTTGTTATTATTTTAACCCAAACCATGATCTTTCCTAACCCTGCTGTTTGTAAGAACACAGTCCAGCTAGCTGCACCAAAATTTCTTATTTGAGCCTTAAAGCATTGAAACGGACCAGAGCGCGCTGACAGGCAGGTTAGTGACTTTATTCCGTCATTTTCTCACTTTACAAAGACAAGTGTTGCAGTATGAGTCTTTCATGAAGAGAGGCTACGAAGTCTTAATTGTACGCGATACGAGCACTACATACAGTATAATGTATTAAACTGTCAGACGGTTTTCAACATAGCCTATATACATTATGGAAATAAGATTAATTGGATAATATTCACTATATATTCATTACAAACAGCCGTATTAAGAAGGCAGTAAAGAGCAATGCACTTGCATACACTGTTTCCATTGAAATAACATTTTTGCTATGTTTTACTCGTTCCTGGTGGAAAAAACAATAACGCTGGCCCTCCCGGCACCCTTACAGTCAACATGGCGGCAAAGATTACAGATGTTGTGGTTCAAGATAAGACCAAACTTTTCTATGAATGCCAGTTTATGAGCCTCACCAAAAGATAACTCTTGCCATGTCGTAACGCATATTGTAAAATGGTGAATACAGCTGAGAAGACGAAAGTCTAGGTTTTACATTAGGATCAGTTAATAAGATTACTTTTTCAAAAATTGGGAATCACCTTGGCCCTAGAGCATACAGTCATAAATGTGCAAAAAAATATTAGGCTGATGGGGGCAGTAGTATGCAAGATTAGCTGTGGACAGATGCACACATACACTCACCTGACCAAATGCATGATCCCCTCCTGGCTTACGCCTTATGTGACCTAGCTGCATATCAGTGTATTAGCTCTACAGTGGTTAAAACAGGTTTTAACCATAGAACATGCTGACCTTCAGCCAGATACAGACTGTATTTCTAGAATGTAACATTTAGCATGTGAGTGTAACACTGCACCATTTACATTGTTATTTCAGCAATAATCTCAAAGTAATGTGGTTTATTTTAGAGTTATACCAGTACCTGCATTAACTGAGGGTAGGACAAGTACTTTCAACATCTCTCTGGGACCGTGCACATCTGTAGCTCACTTAATATTACTGCAACCCAAATGTTTGTGTGTTATCAGTCATGGTGATGCTTGTGCTGCACTCTTGAATAAATCATAACTTTATGCTAAAATGTTTTTTTATTGTTGGTTAATACTTCCTAATAACTTGCAAGACAGTTATATCAGTCAGTTTTATAACAAAAAGACCATTACCAAAGGAACCAAAGCATGACCTTCATAAAAGTTTAATGTGCTTGATAAACAGTTTGTAGCTGTGTGAGATGATTGATATTTAGTCATTTATGTGTTAATTTATTCATATGTATTCATTGGCTTGACCCGCTTATTCCTATCAGGATCATGGAATGGTGCAATAAAAGAAAAAGGCAACAAAAGGATGGTAAGATAATAAAATGAATGCAAGACTCACAGATGGTAGGCGGCAACAGGTATTAAATGGTCATTATATGAAATCCCAGCAGGTGTATAAAAACTGCACAGGAAAATAGAAGCTCCAACAATAAACTAGTGTCTGCAAAGAGAAGAGAACATGACTGTAAGCCTGGCAGGTTTCTACTCAGACACACTTTTGTCCAGTCAAGACTTCAATTATTGTATTATCATCAAACAGGAAAAGGTTTGAAGGGCAAATCTCCAGATAAATACTGTATCAGAGATTTATCCTTTCACAGAGTACAAAATAGCCATTGTGGATTTGTTACTCTTAAATTCTGGTTAAAGGTGTCAGGTAAATTTGCTGCTTGCGGCAGTGTGACAAAAGGAATTGATTGAGTGCGAAGGCAAAAACAACCAGAAGCTCTTTTAATTCATTTTTCTTTTACAATGTGAGTGGTTAAGGCCCTGTCTGCTCTTAGCAGATGTTAAGTCCCTAACAGATGTTTGTTTTATGGTGACCTATATTTGGTGATCTGTGTTTGGAATGGGTGGTTTATGCGTTCTACTTTTTACCGCGAGCCTGATTTTTCTCATAGTACGATAAAGGTTTCAGACTGATCAATTTGAACAAAAGAGAAGAGATACATATACTACATGGCCAAAAGCATGTAGACACATATACATTGCATCCATATCTGTTATATCTGATGTATATTTCAGAGTCAGAATTAGAAACAGCTTTGTTGCCAAGTAGTTTTAACACGTCCAAGAAATTTGCTTTGGTGAATTGGTGCCAGACATAAACATGTATAAATATAAATATAAAAACATAGAATGAACAAGCCATACAAGTTAGATTATATAAGAATTAGATAGACTTTGTGCAATTTGGTAGTTATTTACATGTTCAGTTTTGTCTGTTTTTTATTGTACTTTTTTAGTAACCTTCCAATGTCATGTCCAAAATATGGGCATTATTCTGCTCCTACTGTACTGTAACAGCACACTTTTCTTGGAAGGCCTCCAACCAGGTTTTGGAACCAGGCTGCAGGGATTTGCTTGCATGCAGCCACACAAGCATCCCTGAGATCCAGGACTGATGAGGTCTGTTTCACAATAAGTGTTACAGTTCATCCCAAAGGCGCTGGATGGAGTTGGTGTCAGGGCTCTGTGCAGGCCGGTCAAGTTCTTCCACACGTTTCTGGTCTAAAACATTACTGTATGCTGTATTAAGAATTCACTCAATTAAAAGTAAGGTCCAAGCAGTGAAAAAACACCTAGATCGATTGATTGATTCAGTTCCGCAGCTCTACAGTCTTGGAGATACAAGTCAATGAGAAAACCTGGCCAAATGGAAAATGACCTTAGGGTTTGATTGTTCCATGGTACTACTAATAATG